GTGTGTGTGTGTGTGTGTGTGTGTGTGTGTGTGTGTGTGTGTGTGTGGTTTGTGTGTGTTTTTTTGAGGTAGGGTTTTTCTGTATAAGCCTGGCTGTCCAGGCTGGCCTCGAACTCAGAGATCCGCCTGCCTCTGTCCCCGAGTGCTGGGATTAAAGGCATGTGCCACCACCCGGCTGCATTCACTTTTTCACCTGAATTCCGGGCCCTAACTCACTTCATCAGCTCTGCAAGGCTAGACCCTTTACTCATGGGGGCCATCTCCCCAGTCCTTTAATTTGTTTAAAAAAAGCGGTTCTCATTACGAAGTTCAAGGGTAGCCTTCAACTTGTGGCAGTTCTTCTGCCTCAGCCTGTTGGATGCTGGGTTGAAGGCTCCCTGGGACAAGGTAAGAACCATGTTCATTCAGCTTGTCTTAGAGGTGGGCCTCGGGTCCTTAGACACTAAGGCTAAAGTCCCCTCAGGACTGGGGCTGCAGAGGAGAGTGAGTGAGGTGGGCACTGGACTGATCTTTCGTAAAGTCTGAGCTCAGCGTGTGGAGAGGCAGAAAATGCACATCCTGCCCGGAGGAGCCAGTGCCAAGGTGCGAGCGCTCTCCCTGATGTAATAGGACTTGGCGGCTCTTTTGGCAGAGGATCCATGTTGGCACGCTTTCAAGCTTTTATTCATTCAAAGAAAAGCTCCGCCAGGGAGGCCACACAAGGTCACAGCGAGGGAGGGAGGGAGGGCAGAAGGGGAAGGGAAGGGAGTGTGTCAGCCCCCCCCAGGGACCATCTCTCCAGCCCCTTGATTTAACTTTTATTTTATGAGTTCTGTCTGGTGTTACGTCTGCGTGCTGAGTGTATGAAGTCTTGGTGGAAGCCGGAGGACATTGGATCCCCTGGAACAGCAGTTGAGTTATAGATGGTTGTGAGCCACCATATGGGTGCTGGGAATCAAACCCAGGTCTTCTGGAAGGGCAGGCAGTGCTCGTAATCACTAAGCTATTGCTCCAGCTGCAAACTTTTTAAAAAAATTTTCTACTTATTTTATTGCTCTCTGTGTACGGGCTCCACTTATGTGGGTGCCCACAGAGGTCAGGAAAGGTCACCCAGCCCCTTAGAGCTGGAGTGACAGGGGCTTGAGAGTCACTCCACGTGGGTGCTTGGAACCACGCGTGGGTTCTCTGAAAGAACAGCAAACCTTAACCACTGGGCCAGCTCCCCGGCCCCAGACCGACCCCTGGCGCTCATTGACAGTGCCGCCGCCGCCCCTGTGACGTACCTCTGTGTTCTGTGTCTCTCCAGAGCGGCACCCTGCATTTCTGTGGCTTCCAGGTCTTAGAACCCCAGCTGGTGTACGGCATTGGCCACACCCCACCCGATGCCCGGACACAGATCCTGGAAGGATGGAAGAAACGTCTGGAGACTGTCTGGGACGAGACACCGCTCTATTTCCCTCCAAGCAGCTTGTTTGACCTCAACTTCCAGGCAGGATTCATACTGAAAAAGGAGGTTCAAGAGGAGCAGGAAAATAAAAAATTTGGCCTTTCTGTGGGCCATCACTTGGGCAAGTCCATTCCAGCTGACAACCAGATCAAAGCTAGAAAATAAGATTGTTTTTTCCCAACATATGGTTAAACCTACGTATCTTCTCTTCCAGCTTGCCTGACTTGCTTTTATTTTTCCCTTTGTTCCAGAAGAGTAGGAAAAGTAGGCTCTCACCTCCAACATTTTTGGATAGGTCTATCATCGACTGATCATAGGGTTGCGACAGCCATATGAACCGCATCAGATTAGACGCCACAGGTGGCCTGGGCTGTGAAGCAGGGAGAGGTGGAAGCAAGCTGGGATACACTCTCCCATGTCTTCTCTGCAGTATAGCCCCTTCACTTAGGGCTAGCCCTGGCTATGTGGCATCCAACTCTCCAGCGACTTGTTTCTCTTAATTACCTCTCTGTGGTTTAGGGCAGAAGGGAATTGCTCAAAGAAAACAATGGCTGAAGGACCAACTTTATTTGGTAGTTAGCAAGCTAGAGCCTGTTTATGCCTCATCCTGGTTTCAATTACTGTGCCCGGACTGGCATGCCTTCCAGGGGAATTTGTTTCCAGCTCTTCTCTGTCTTGCACACAGCACACCCAGGTCCTGGGAAATGAATACTGAAACAGGTCTCTGTCTCATTCTTCCATTCCCCCCCCCCCCGCCAAAATTGATGGTGGTGCATGTTTTTAACCCCTTCACTACTTAGAACCAATAGCCCCCTACTGACACGGACAGATGGCTCAGCAGCTAAGAGCATTTGTTGCCCTTGCAGAAAACTTGCATAGAGACTAACAGCTGTGTCTAACTCCAGTCCCACAGGATCCAGCACCCTCTTGTGGCCTGTGCAGGCACCACGTGCACACGGCGCACAGACGTACACGGGAACATAGATGGGTGTACACATAAAGTAAGTCCTAAATATCAAAACAAAGCCAGCCTTCCACCAGAACAAGACAGTTTCAGTTACCCAAACGTCCGCAGGGTTTTTCTGCAATATTGGGAAGTCAATGACATTCCTTGTTCATTCATTCCTTCTTTTCCCAGACAGGGTTTCTCTGTGTAACCCTGGCTGTCGAGGTGGACTCTGCCTGCCTCTGCCTCCCCGAGTGCTGAGATCACGGGCGTGCACCGCCATGCCTTGCCTCCTTCATTATTAAGCATCTGTTTTATTTTTACTTCCGTGTGTTGTGTTTGCATGCCTGAGGGCTTATGGACACACATGTGTACAAGCAACCACAGATGCTGGAAGAGGGCCTTCCTGCACCCAGAGCTGGAGTTACAGGTGGTTGCGAGCCACAAGTGGGTGCTGGGAACCAAACTTGGGTCCTCTGCAAGAGCAGCAAGTGCTCGTAGCGATGGGACTATCCATTCCAGCCTTGATCACATTCATCTTAAGGAGATGTTTGGATCTCATGCAGGTCTTACGGGAATAATTTTCACACTGTGTGTGCTTTGCACATGTTAAGGAAGCATTCTGCTGCTGAACTACCTTCTCATTTCCCAATTTTGGCATAGAATTAAGTTTGATTTAGGTGTGCATGCACATGGAGGTGTGAGTGCCTATGGGGAGTTCAAAGCTGAGCTCCACTTGGATGCTCGGCTAGAATAACAAGGGCTCTTAGATGCTGAGCCACCTCCCTCGCCCCTGCCCCAATTTCAGTTCTTGAAATGTAAGCCAGGCACGTTGGTGGCACATGACTGTCATCCCAGCACTCAGGAGACTGAGGCACGGGGGTCAGATGGTTCAGGTCATCCTGAGCTACATACTGAGTTTGATGCCGTCTTGGGCTACTTGAGACCTGGTCTCTAGAAATCTTGATGTTTATTTGGAAGAGATAATTTCAAGGAGACTACAGTTTGCCCTCTTGTGGCAAATGGCAAGAAAAGGTACAAAACTGGTGGGCAGGACATTTGTAGACCCGACTTTGCTGGATGCTTTGGAGTTATTTTTTAACAAATCATTTCACAAATGATTTAACAAAAATCGATTCACAAATTGATTTTTAACAAATCAATTCACTGGTACCAGGCTGATTTAGTCAGGGTTCTCCAGAGGAACAAAACTTCAGGAATGAAGATGGATGGATGGATGGATGGATATAAAGGGGATGTATTAGGATGGCTCACAGGCTGTGGTCCAGCTACTCCAACAATAGCATCTACCAACAAAAGGTCTAAGAATCCAGTAGTTGATCAGTCCATGAGGCTGGATGTTAATTATTCCCACAGGGTGAGAATGAGACCACTACCAAAAGTTTTCGAGCCAAAAACTGAAGCAAGCTATAATTAAATACTGGCCAGGCAGATGGACTCTGGCCGGGTCTGGTCTAGGGTTCTCATGAAATGACCATTAGTCTCATTTTTGCAGAGGCTTAAAAAGGCAACCCCATCGTGCTATCATATTTTCTGTCACATGATCAGGCACAACTGGTCCAGCCGAGTCAACCAAACTTGTTTAAGGGAGTGAAAACACATGGCTAATTCTCTCCCATAACAACAGCTTCTGATACTTCAGGAAGTATCTGTCCTCGGGCAAGGGGCTTATGGGTCAGAGAGATTTTTGTTTCATAAATCTCTTAGGCACAGTAACTAAAACTTAAAACCTAACATTGGCTCTCACACCATCTCAGAGGTTCTTCAGTATATACCACAATTCCAAAGGGTAGGCTGGAATGCCAGTGAAGGAACGGACTTGAGAGCGAATAGGAGCCAGGCCAGCCTCTTCCTTTCCTGTCCTTATGCAGACGGCCAGCAGAAGGTGTGGCCCAGATTGATGGGGGACCTTCCCACCTCAAAGATCTGGATTAAAAGTGGCTCTTCCCACTTCAAATGATTTAATTAAAAAGCTCTCACGGGTGTGTGCCCGGCCACTTGAGTTCATTCTGGATGCCACACACTCAGAAGGAGGATCTCCTGAGAGACCAGATTCAGTAATGATAGCCAGGAGTAGGTAAGGTGATGTAACCTGGTCTGGCCCAGCGCACCTGCTTTGTATTGAATGGCTATCGAATCACCTATCCCTGGTACCTACATGGTGGAAGGAGAGACCTGACTACTGGAAGCTATGCTCTGACCACACATGTGCATATGAGCTTGAGAAAATGCACACACGTGTGCAAACATTCAAATAAATAATGTAAAATAAGATGTTCTAGGCGCACTAGGAGGGGCTGGAGAGATGGCTCAACAGTCAAGAGTACTTACTGTCTGCTCTTTCAGAGGTCCTGAGTTCAATTCCCAGCAATCACAACCATCTATATCCTCTACTGCCCTCTTCTGGCAAGTAGGTGCACATGCAGCTAGAGCACTCATGCATAAAATAAGTAAAATATTAAGAGAAGAGCACTAGTTGGGGCTGGAGAGATGGCTCAGAGGTTAAGAGCACTGGCTACTCTTCCAAAGGTCATGAGTTCAATTCCCAGCAATCACATGGTGGCTTACAACCATCTACAATGAGGTCTGGTGCCTCTTCTGTCATGCAGGTCTACCTGCAGACAGAACATTGTATACAAAAAAAAAAAAAAAAAAAGACACTAGGAAAAAAAAAAAGTGGTACAGGAATTACAGAACATGGTGAAGATGTGGTCAACAGACGCCTGGGGGACAGTGTTTACTCTGCCACACCCAACCAAGGGGCCACTCTTCCAAGAGGTAGGTCCACAGCAACGGGAAGCACTTACCCTTGCAGAATTGCATTATTCCGAAAAATGGCAGTTACGGAAATGGGTATGCTGGATGTTGGGAAATGCTAGGAAAAAAAAAAAAAAAGATTACAGGCCCAGAGCTGGGACTGGGGGAGTTGTTTCATATAAGTTAATTCAGAAAGCTGTCTGTTAGGCCCATGCTTGCTAAGTGAGGCTGGTTATCAGGAGGATGAATGCTCCAGGCACTGGGATGTCTTTACCCCAGGTGGGATAAGTTCAAGGAAGGGGAAGTTAGGGGGCAAGGCTAAAGCAGAGAAAGAGGGAGAGTGCCAGGTCAGACACTAACTGGGGTTAGAGCACGAGGGGATGTGGGCTCAGTGCCCTCAGTCCCTGGAGGCTTTGAGCAGAGGTGTGCTAAGGCTGCTGTGAAAGGGTTAATTCTGGATGATATCTGAGCAATCAAGTGTAAGGGATGAGGAGGCTGTTGGCCAGCTCGGGGTGCTGTTACAACAGAGGGAACAGGTGTGTTTTGACGCAGGAGTTCATGATGAATCAGAGGTAGGTAGAGACCATAATTGCAATGGAAGGACAGAGATTCCATTGGTTAGGGTGAAGAAGGATCTAGAAGGACCGTTAGGGGTAAGGATGGGGAGGGAGAGGACTGAGACTAGCGTCTGCCCTCCCTCATTTTAAGATGTCTGCTCAGACAGCCAGGTTGGAAGTTGACGAGCAAACAGGATTTCAGGAACGTCCGTGGAACTTAGGGGATTTACCAGTTAAGAGGCACACACGCTGGAGATGGCCTTTAAACTGGGAGAGATCCAGAGGTGTGTCAGGAGGGCTTTAAGGCTCTTCAATACTTCAGGTTGAAATGAGTTTGAAAAGGGGGTGGCCGGGGCAAAAGCATAAGAACACAGCTCTCACCTCAAGATCATTCTAGAGCCAAATTTGAGTGACCACGGATACAGGGTATCGCCAAGTCCTTGTTCCAATGTGGAAACACTTTCTGAAAGTTGTAAAATCTTTATGGTAACAGAACAAAGTTACAGATCAAGGCATCTTAAAAATACACTGGTGGCAACATCAGAGAGGTGGGTTATTTCCGGGCGAGGGATCTCGACTATAAGCCTCAGATGCTGTCTTAGCCTTTAGGCTGGTAGAGAATAGGGATAATACATCTCAAATGTTGTTTTGTTTTTAAAATCTGTGTGCTGGTTAGTTTTTTGTCAACCTGACACAAGCTAGAATCATCTGGGAAGAGGGAACTTGTTTGAGGAACTGTCTTCTTCAGACTGGCCTCCAGGAAAGTCTGGGGGACGTTTTGACTAATGATCGGTGTGGGAGGGGCCTTGGCTCACTGTAGGTGAAAGCTCTGCATTCTAAGAAATCTTATAGCCCAGTGGTGGCTCAGGCCTTTAATCCCAGCACTTGGGAGGCAGAGGAAGGTGGATCTCTGAGAATCCAAGGCCAGCCTGGTCTACAAAGTGAATGCAGGACAGTCAAGGCTACACAAAGAAACCCTGTCTCGTAAAACCAAAAACCAAAAACCAACCAACCAACCAAAAAATCCTATGTAAGTCCTGCTTACTTTTCAATTCACTGCAGCTTCTCCTGGGAGCAGCAGCAGCAACTCCTGGATTTTTCCCTCCCAATAAATCTCCGATGTGAGGTTTGCTGTGCGGTGTGACTTCGTGGAATTCTAACACTTCCACTGGAGCAGAGCAGAGCTGTTGTCGGGGAAACGCTTCCTCAGCAGGGCAGAGCTGCAACACATCTGTCGGGAAAGCCTTTCCCTTTCACACTCACAGTGGAAACCAACTGAAGAAAGTATGCCAAGGAAGGAGTTGAGCATGACAAACTGTGGATAAGTCAAGTAAATGAGGTCTGAGAACAGACCACCAGGCTTGGCCAGGTGGAAACCATTCTTCGGTGGTCTGGACAGAGGCTGTTTCCGGAGAGTGGAATGATGTACACTGGGTGGGTTCAAGGAGATGGGAGAGAAGGTGAAAAGTACAGAAGAGATGTGACCAAAGAGAACCACTCACCTGACGTTGAACCAGACTATCATCCAAGCCAAGCTGTCGCCATCTTCAGGAGTCCTGCTGGGCCTGCTCGCAAGAGAGCCTCAACTGGCCTTGTTGACTATTTACCTTCTTCCACAGGAGGGGCTGAGGGGAGTCACGGGACCCCCACCTGAGCGTCTAGCCACCCCTCCCACACAGCTGTAAACAATTCTGACTTAATGGGGACGTGGTCTCATGGAGGCTGGAGGATACAGGTGGGGAGGAATGGCGGGAGGAGCACACTTACCTGGGCAGCCCCGAGGAAAGTCACCATCCCTGCTGGGCGCCGACCTTCCAGAGCGGCTACTGTAAAGTCTTCTATGCTCCCGCATGTAATCCCTCACCCACTGCTCTGGAGGTAAGCCTCAACACACTGGTTTCCCTCAGTGAATTCCGAGGGAATCACACGCGCTGGGATCTCGGGAGAAGGGGTGGCTGCTGCTGACATACCACTAAGGGAATACTAATAATATATATCATTTGTTATTATAGAATAATTATTATTTAGAGAGAAGTTTGTTATGGATTTCAAGGGAGAGGAAGAGCCATACCATGGCAGTTAAGCATGACTTGAGCTGCATGGCAAATGGGAGGGGAACTTCAGAGACAGAGTAAGGAAGCTGGAGCATTAGCAAAATATGTATGCTTAGGCTCTGGCCAGTGTCCGGGAGGAAAGGACCGAAGAAAAGCGTAAGGAAAAGTGACACAGTTAGGACTCAGAAAGGAGGCTGTACTGGCTAGTTCCTACGTCATCTTACCACAGGCTAGAATAATTTTGAAGAGGGAACCTCAACAGAAAATACTACTAGGTCGGCTAGGTGGGAAGCCTGTGGTGCATATTCTTAGTGACTGATATTCGGGACCCAGCCCACTGTTGGTGGTGTCACCCCCTGGTCCTGAGGGAGCTGGAGAGATGGCTCAGAGGTTAAGAGCACTGGCTGTTCTTCCAGAGGTCCTGAGTTCACTTCCCAGCAACCACATGGTGGTTCATAACCATCTATAATGTGATATGGTGCCCTCTTCTAGCTTGCAGGCATATACAGGTAGAATATATATATATATACATATATATATATGTATATATATATATGAATCCTAAGCCAAAACCAAAACCGTACAGGTTGAGTAAGCCAGTAAGCAACACCCCTCCATGGCCTCTGTATCAGCCATGCTTGAGTCCCTACCATGCCTTCTCTCAGTGATGGACTGCAATGTGGAACTGTGAGCTGAAATAAACCATTTCCTCCCCAAGTTACTTTTGGTCTGTTGTTTTATGACAGCAATAGAACCCAAACTGACATAGAGTGGACCAAACAGAACCTGACTCCTGAGGGCTGCACGAGGAGCCAGGAATTCTTTGCCTGATGTTTTAAGAAATTCACCAATGGATAACAGAAAACCTTGGCCAGCAGTACGGACAACTAAAGTACCATCTTTTTTTTTTTTTTTTTTAAACAAAATTTATTCTTGAGAATTTCATGCACGTATACAATATCATCTCTACCCCAACGTCTCCCGACAAGTCCCCCTCACAACCTTCTGTCTTCTTGTTCTGTTTTTCTCCTTTTTGTGATAAGCCCCCAAGTCCATGGGTGTGCACAGGTGTGGGCCTCCCACTAGTGAAGGAGCAACCTACCAGTCGGAACTCCCTCAAAAAGAATGATCCTTCCTGGAGCAGCTCGCAATGGCTAACAGCACCACAGTGAGGGGTAAGGCCTGAAGAGTTCCTCTCCCTCTATGCTAGAACTATGGCTGGCTAGGTCTTCTGCAGATAATCTTGGATGCTGTGAGTTCATGATTACAATGTCAGAGGACTGGATCTTTCAAGAAAGTAAGGTGAAATGGTACCTAGAACAGGGTGGCATCAGGATTAGTAATGTCAATGCTGTATAATTACTGTGAACTAGGAACTAGGTAAGCAAATATACATTAACTGGCTTAGCTCTGGTGACAGCCTTAAAGGGTCAGTCTACTTTACAGGAAAAAAAAAAAAATTGGAGTATGGGGTTGTACAGTAAAGTGTGGAAGTCAAGGCTCCGCATGATCTTGCCTTTGACATTTGTGATGTGTGCATACATGCAAACATGCCATGGTGCATTTTTTTTTTTTTTTTTTTTTTTTTGTGGAGGTCAGAGGACAAATCTGGAGGTCCTGGGAACTGAACCCAGGTTGTCAGGCTTAGGAGGCAAACACCTCTACCTGATGAGCCGTGGTAGTCCATATTTTTGTCTTTGAAAGACTAATTTTATTTATGTGTGCTTGTCCACATCCATATGCTTGGAGGTGCCTGCAGAGGCCAGAAGAGGGTGTCTGGTTGCATCGAGCTGGGGTTACTGGCAGCTGGGAGCTGCCTGATATGGGTGCCAGGAACCAAACTTAGGCCATCTGCAAAGCAGCATGAGCCATCTTTCCATTTTGGTTATTTTACCTTTCCAGTGCCGTTTAAGCATATTAATGAGGAAAGTTAACGTTCTGGTTTTATGTGTACATGTGTAGTGTTTTATACAGATGAGCATGTGCACATGCAGGCATACGTGTGTGTGTGTGTGTGTGTGTGTGTGGAGGACACACACACAGAGCTTCAGGTCTGTTTTGATTGCTCTGTATCTCAATACCTTAGTCAGGTTCTCCACTGTACCTGGAGCTCAGAGACTTGGGTCAGCTGAACAATGAGCTCTGGGGAGGCCCCCAGTTCTGTCTCCCCAGTGCTGGGGTCAGGTGCCTATCACATCTGGCTTTTCCTGTGGTGGTAGGATCTCAACTCAATTCATCTTTGTTGGCACATACTTTATTGGCTTGCCTTGGAAACACAGGTATCTGCCTACGCCTGGCTCCTGTGTGCTGGGATTAAAGGCATGTAGCAGCACGCTCTGCTAAGGCAGCTCGGTATATGCTGTCCTCATGGTACCCTTGTGTCACCTCAATTGTTGTTTTTCTTCCATTCACCCGTCTGGTTAGTGGACATGTTAAGCCCTCTACTATCTGTGTCACTGCATGCACTGAGCGCTACCAGCAGCCATATCCACTACTGTCTGATAAACACCAGTTTACACAAGTAGATGTGACCACCAGAATAAAGAGATGGCCTGAGTGAGGAGCTGAAGAGGGGGACACTGGCTTTCACGAGAGCCTCTCCCTGTGTAACTATGTATGTGTTCATGATGAACTGACACACTAACATTCTGAGTATTCTGCCTGACAAAATAGGTAGGTACAAAATAACAACTCAAATGGTTCCTATCCCCTCAGCGGATTGTTGCTGATACATTCAGGCCAAAACAAAATCTGAGAAAAAAAAGATTGCCACCCACTGCAAAATGAAAACTTTCAATGTTTTATTTTTGACTGCAGCTGTTTACAGAAATATAATTGCGAGTATACAAATGTTCCAATAGAAGCAAAATATCTTTTTAATATTTAACAAGTTATCACAGATACCTAAAAACATAGATGCAAATGAAATTCCCCCAGAGAACAAACCGAGAATATCTGGTGTCAGTGCTCTGAAATTCCAACTATGAAGCCATATACACAGTGTCACTCTTACGTCATTGCAGGACAATGCAAGAAGGCAGGTCAGTGGTTGATCAGTGTGCTCAAGCAGATAAAATGAAATAAAAACTCAATTTTCAGCTGGCAGAATGGCAGCTAAATCACTCGAGAACAGGTTAATGAAATATTCCAAGTTACTCATTAAAACAGGAAGTAAAAGGAGAGTGAAAGTCAGTCAAGTTGCCAGGAAAGCAGCAGTCACTTGGAGCTCATCCTTAGAAGCAACAAGGTAAACAGACACATTCATTAGATCGAAGGAGTTTAACTGCACTGCAGAAGGTGTCTAGGGAGTGAGATTGTGATCGCTTCAGTGCAGGACAGCTCCCTTTCTTTCTCTCAGTCTCTGTCTCTCTCTCTTTGGTACTGGGGACTGCACTACCTTGGGCCTTGTGCACACAAGAACCCTACCACTGAGCTCTAACTCCAGCCAGGACAGGAATTTTCTGGTGACAGAAGTTTGATTCCAAATGCACTCTCAAGCATCTTGGTCATGTATGAGTGCAAGCTGTCCTGAGGCTCACTGGCTAAAATAGTAACAATAGCTACCCCTGCAAGCTAGGCGCGTTACTCCTGGGGTGGAGGAAGGACCGATGTGAGGGAGCGGGTAGGGGCGACATGGTTGAATGCAGGAAGTATTACAAACCTGGGTTGAATAAACTGTGTGGAATACTCTGGATCCAGTGACAGATGATGTACTCACAAAGAAGGAAAGGAAGGTGTCTCTAGAGCATCCCAACACTTTGCCTACTTACTTTCCAGCACCAGTTTGTAGAGTAAGCCACTTAGCACTGCTAGTGAGGAGCAGACAGCAGTGATTCTCAGAAAGCAAGTATTCATTTAGTTTTAGTCTGAAAAGTGAATCTTCGTTAACTCATCAGTGATTTGTAAACAGTGGAAGGAAGATTAATGATGGAAGTGCTGAATTGTAAAGGAAAAAAATGAATAAACCTGCTTAGCTTATATTTATTAAGATGCAGACAACTGAGAGGGGAGGAATGCCCAAACTATAAAAAGCACTGTCTTATTATTTTGCTAAGTACTTCATTTGAAGCGTGAGTTCCAAGGAGAACCATCACTCTACTGCACCGTTCAAATGGCAAGTAGGCTACTTGAAAAAAAAAAAATTCCTCATCTATTAAGAGAAGAAATTAAATAAGGTGCTGTGTTGGCCTGGCCAGCCATCTAGCTGAGATTTACTATCTCAGATACAAGAAAAATGATATGGAATGGCAATTCTGTTCTGAGAGCTGGTCTAGCCAGAGCAAAACTGTGGTCTGCTGGTAAATTAAGAGGCAATGAAGAGAAAGCTTGTATTACATTGCCCACAATGTACCCATGTTATGCATAAACAGGAGACTGTAGCACCCATCAATTATTTTAGCTAAGTAAATGTCGCAACAATTAAAGAAATACAGAACACTGCACCTATATATTGAAATCAGTCAGTTAATGTAAACTTTTTAGTCAGTGGTAGGGAAATGTCAGACTAAGTTAAATGAATCATCAATAACTACACTGTATATACATAAAACATAGGCATTTCTTAGGCAGTACTGAGAATAAATTACTATTGTTGATAAATGATCACAGATAACCAGGTAAAGCTGAGTATACATGAGGAAGGAATAATTATCTTTAAGAGTGGGGAAGAAATTCTCTCGCTTTCAGCAGACAAAATCATACAAGTGCCTGTGAAGCTCAGGGTGCACTGGACTCGCCTGGGGGCCTGGGTCAGACAGACTGCTGAGTCCTACTTCAGATCTAATTCAGTAGGCCTGAGCTAATGCCCAGGAATGCGCACCTCTAATCTAACTAGTTCCCTGCTCATACTGATACTAGCTGCTGGGTGGAGGGCCAGACTGGTTTGCATAAACCGCACAGGTAGAAGGTATACACAATAGCATTTTTATAGAGGGGACATAAAATACATGGGAAGGGAAATGGTACTAAGCAGCTCCCCAACACACTCAGCCAGTCAGTCTGCAGAAGTTCAGTCACTTCCCTGCAGCTACATTTCAGTCTTAAGTCCTCTAGAAAACAGTAACTTCACACTTATTCCAAGTCACTTTAAAAAGCAGCCACCTAACACACTAAACCACCTATCCAAAAGAAAAATGGATGCAGTATTCTCACTAGTTAAGATATATTCTTGGCTTTTTTTGGAATGATTAAAGTGCACACTAGAGTATTCAGAACACTACATAAACGTTTGCCACCTTCAGTCCACCAACAGTCACAAAAAAACACTGTATGGGGAACACAGCTCTCCTCCAGAGTTTAGTTACGGCTGTCCTTGATTTGTTGCTGAAGGCCCCGTCTTCAATTCCACCTGTGGTAAGGAGCTAGCTCAGAAACGAAATGGGCTAAACCAGGACACTCAAGCCAACTGTATCTGATACTAAGAAATTACATTAATTCTTCCACAACTCAAATGACCTCTTCCTAATTTTTTTCTGACGTTAAGCTTTCCAAGGCCAATTAACTAGAGTTCTGATAAATGATAAATAAACTACTTTGCCAAAAAAAAAAAAAAAAAAAAAGAAAATCAATGTTACCCCTAAGCCTGTTTTAGTGACTGCTTTTCCCTCCGCTAATCAGGGTCAGGGAAGAGGCTATGAGCTGTGCCTTCGTGACATTTAACACACGTGTGTGCATGGAATCTCACAGAGGGCTAAATTTTCATTCTTATTCAGTTGAGACCCATCTATAAATTTTTGGGATGAGAAAATTAGACTTGATTCATTAGAAGCTGGGACAGAATACACTTACTTTCCCCAAGCAATTCTCCTAAAGCACTTTCTCTGTTATTTTTAAAAAGTCAAAGGAACTGACCAAGTCATCTTCTATAGTAACCAAGAAATGAAAAAAAAAAAAAAAAAAAAAAAAAAAAAAGCCTAATGGAAAGAGTACAAGTTGGGACCTGATAATATCAGCTGTTCACATAATTTTGGCAATAGTGAAAGGTGGAATTATTAAGAAGGGGGCACTGGCATGATAAAAAGGCACTTTTCTGTAACATTTAATCTATATATAAAATATTAATGTAAAAATTGCCTGAAGGAACAAGAGCAGTAAAAAACAGAATTTTATAAGTATTATGAGGCTTAGAATGGCATGAAAACAGAGAGTTAAAAAGTAATTGGGGCATTGGGACAACTTATGCTATTGTAGAGAGTCAATCTCCTGTATCACGGATGTCACCTCCACAGTTAGCTCCAGTTACAAAAGCAGGCAGAAGGAGAAAGCTCTCAAGAATATGTAATAGGTGAGTGCTAATCCTCCTGCTAGTGTGTGTGCTCAAGTTCTCTTTCTCTCCTTTTGGTGGTGCTGGGGAGCGAATCCAGAGCCTTGCATGTGCTGTGTAAACCTCTACCTCTGTGCCACACTCCCAGGTCTGTGTCACTTCGCTCATACATTCGCCGAGCTACAGTTCTTGTTTCTCACTGAGCAAAGCATGCAGATATTAAATGGCTGTCTTGGATAGAGATGGAGCCTGTGCTTGAGATGCCGAGTAAAGCCACAAGAATTCCCATGACTTTCAATGAAAAATCAGCAAATAGGGTAACAAAAAATTTTACAAGAAAAATGAACAATTTTGTAAATAAGTATAACTATGCTCAATTTAAGAATTATTCAGGCCAGGCATGATGGTGCACGCCTGTAATCTCAGCACTCATGGAGGCAGAGGCAGAAGGATCTCTGTGAGTTCAGGGCCAGCCTGACCTACAAACTAAGTCCAGGACAGCCAGGGCTACACAGAGAAACCCTGTCTCGAAAAACCAAAAGAAACAAAAAGTTCTGTCATTTCATCATGGTTTGTATTTGCTGACAGATTCCATTTTTCCCCTAACAAGCATTTACAATGGCTTCAAAAGGCCAAAGGGGCCCAGATAAGGTGCTTCACACATGCAGGCCCAACACTTGGACAGCATAGTGCAACCTCATTGGGGAAATAAAACCAAACACTCTTAAAAGGCCAAAAGGAATTATCACTTTCATTCTGAAGGGACATATGCACAATTTCTTCCTTCTAATTTTTTTCTGGGTACATTAGCCAAAATTCTGATAGGCAATAAATCTACCATAATAAAACTCTAAACTATAACTCACAATATTATACAAAGGGGACAAGGAAGGATGGGAGAATGGGAGGGAGGGAAGGAGTCCTCTTGTTAATACTGCTTCTATAATAAACAAAGCCCTTTAAACACTTGTTCTAAGGAGACGGGGTAAGACAGATCTACTTTGGCTAAAACCCAAATAGCAACATGATGTTAGAATCAGAAAAGCCCACAGCGAAGCTTAGGAACAAACTATCTAACATCTTCTCCTTGTTGTGGAATAACAGTAAGAAAGAACACACACATGCAGCGCACAGGTGTGCACACACGCGCGCATGTGCACACACAGCGGGGGGTCAGGGCGGGGTTTGGAGGGGGAGAGAGAGAGAGAGAGAGAGAGAGAGAGAAGAGAGAAGCTCCAAGCGTTTCTGTGAGTTGCCAAAAGCAAGAACTGAATGTAACAAAGAAATAAAATGTAGTTCACAGTTTATTTAGGTCCTTCTGCCAGATATAAACCGTGATTCCCAAGGCATTTGCTGGCTCACTGAGTCTTCCCATTGGCAGCTGTAACTTGTGACAGTAACTGGGAAGCTGCATTCTTAGTACAAGTATCAACCACTGAGCTAACTCTTCAATAAGAAGACAAATACTTTTTGTAACCAAATATGTATTCAGAATAATGTACTTAACATGGACCTTTCGGGGCAAGGAACATTTAACAATGTAAGAAAACAAATAAGCCTCTGTCATGTTTGAACAGGAATATGGTAGCATAGCACAGCCCTTGTGTAAATAACCACAGAAGTGATGAGACTGAAAATGGGGGTTTCTGCCTCCATCCACAAAGCACTATAGTTCGGGTGATGTTCTAGTCTAAACTTAGACATTAAGAAACAGAAATTGGTCCCAGTGACTTGGCATTGCCAATCAGCATTTTAGAAGGATAAGCTGCTAGTACAGAACAAGTAGAAGCCACCACACAAAGCCAGACTTCCTGCTGCCACATCATTCATGGTGCAGTTGTAGAAAACCTTCTAATTTGATCTTGGTGAACAAACAGATTTTCTGAGTCTCCTACACAATCTCAGAAAATACTTCAGAAAACCCAGAAGCAAACATGGTTTTAAACTTTCACTTCTGTGTTTTCTAACACCCACTAGGTCTGCTTTCTGTGACACTCCAGACAATACTTGGGTGTCTGTTTTCCATTTTAAATTTGAAGCACTGAACTGTGTGGCTGACCCTTCTTGTGACCCGAACTGTGCTGGGTAACTTTTCCCTATAGGAACTGGGGGAGGAGGGAGATGTTGAGAAAATACTTTTGTTTACAGAATTTATAAAGTAGCTCTGGATATTAAAAGATGGGGAAATGTTATTAAAATTACAAACATGGTATTTTTTAGTGTCTTTATAAATAAAAAGCATAGGATACAGAAAGCCAATTAATAACAACAACAACAACAATAATAAAATATTAAATATATAGTGAACAAAGACAGAGTGGCTCATTCTTGTCAAACACCATTTGACACACTGCCTCAATGAGTTGCCTTGCTCTTTAACATCTCGCTGAAAGATCCAGCAAACACACAGTAAGTTGCCTTCAGCTCAATAGTAACATTGAGGAACTGCCAGATGGAATGGCTACAGATAAATAGGCCATTTGCTTCAAAAGGTGCTTAAATACTCAAGAAAGACATAACAACCCCCCCTCACTGTTATCAGACGCCACGTTGTGGTAGAACAGACAGACTCACAAATTTACCACAAAAATGTGTGGCAAAAAAGAATAGTTTATATATGTATATATATATATAAATTTCTATATTTATGCCAATGTACTCACTCAGTACAAATAGCAAAATAGTATACCATTTCCTAAATATAAAATATAGCTTTCCAAAAAAATGAAACACACATTAGATATAAACCATCCAAAACTTGAACGATTGAAAACTGTTTTCAAAATTAAATGACCAGAGTAGGTCTCTTTCTGAAAGTTCCCTTCATATCGGCAAGAAGCCTGTACTACTGAAAACGTAATCCAATGCCTCTCAAAGAGAGAAAGGAAGGGCCAGGGCGGAGAAAGGAGACAGAAAAAAGCAAATGACAAGAACAACAGTTAAAGAAGAAGGAGGAGTCACAAAGGGGAGGGGAGAATCTGGATATATAAACTAAACCAAGATCACAGCTCCACATAGTTCAACAAATGTGTAGGACAGGGGGAGAAAGAAAGAAAGGAAAACTAAGGAAAAGAATAACATCCGCTAACTGGCTAATTTTTAAACACTTAGAAAGTAAAAGAAATGAACAGGATACCAAAACATATCAACACACAGAAACCACATACATGTTGGCCTACTGCTGCAGTGACATGTTCCACATGCCAAAGATAAATGAGACAGGAGCATGTGTCCAGATGTAGGTGGTAATGAGAAGCAGGCACCCCACGGGTGGCAAGAACACCCAAAACTCTACAACTAATGCTACAAATGCAAGTTCTGGAGTGTGTAATTTTGCTCTTTGTTAATTCTCCCTTTTAAATCAATGACATGACCCTGTAAAGCCCAAGGCCTGTGAAACCATCAAGTAAGTGACCACTTTAACTGTAAAGCACTGAGGTGACAAATGAATTATAGTCACTGCAGCTCAGGGAGAAGTAATAGTTTGAGAAAGTTCTGTTTGCCTTATATGTAAAATGTAAATTTATACTATTTTTAATTAGAGGGAAAAATTTGAAGACTTCAGAACAGCACCGTTCATGGAAGAAAAAGGAGAAGAAAGAGAAGAGGAAGAAGAAGAAGAAAAAGAAGAAAAGGAAGAAGAAGAAGGAGAGGAGGAAGAAGAAGAAAAAGAAAAAAAAAAGAATTGTTTTTTTCTACCAACTCCCAGTAATCCCTAAGAGTGTCCCTGGGCCTGTGCTGCGGGCTGCTAGGTCACTGAATAAGCATGGCTGCTTCTCTAAATTACTACAGGGCCATAAAGCCAGTAGTAAGTGTATTAACAGCTATCTAAAACTAAAAAGAAAATAATGAGGAAAACAATACAGATGCATATAAAAAAGGAATATTAGCCCAATGCCGGGTGAGAAGAAAACAGACTCTAATTACTGTCAGTTTAAACTACTGAAGGAGAATATGAGAACATGTCATATATTAACCCCTTCATTTTCATAGAACAAAATATTTTTATGCAGTTATGGCTAAATCCCTTCGAAGTACAGAGAACTAACAACTCTCTGAAAAATGCCATGGTAACATTCTAGCTGTACCCAGTTTTGTGAGCATTATCTGCTTGTGAGGAGGAATCCTTATATCTGCAGAGCTTTTTTTTTTTTTCTCTGCAGAGTTTTTAATACAGCTTCTTTGTCAGTAAATTATTCCTTCAGTTTCTCCATGAAAACTGAAAGAAACTCCTTCACTTTGGCCAACAGCCATGTTTTACACATCAACAAAAGCACAGCCTTAGTCATTACTCAACCTTACTTTGTCCTAAGCCATTACTTGACTAAAATAATGCAGGAAAGGAATTAAGAACTTAAGTAAACATGACAAATATGGTTTTCTAATAACAATAATAACTGCAGCCTTGGATTTTAAAATGTAGGACAAAAGCCACAATTCTGTCAGCTGGAAACATCAAACAGACTCGCAGTCGTCACTGTTATTAGAAATAAAAAGCACGTTGGTGGCAAATCACTGCAACAGGCAGCATGGGTATACTCTTTACAGCCAGGAAATCTGTCCATTTGCTCAAATGTAGTTCTTCTAACAGTTCAATAATCTTCATGGAACCACAAGTTCTCAGGACATTTTGGAATCATCATTACTTTCTTCATGGAATTTCTAGGGAAAAAAAAATCAGTATCTTACTAGGGAAGAAAAACATTTGTAAAGTGTATGTCACCATGAATGACCCAAGGAGACTGTCTTTTGTAGGGAACCTCATCACATTCAGTCTCTCTTGCTTTTTTGGTAGACTAGGTACTGAACCTTGGGTGTCAAGTATGCTGGTCAAATGTCCACTTGCGACATATTCCCAGTTTTTAATACTTGTTATTTTATAGAGTTTTCTCTCTCTTGCTCTCCTCCTTTATGAATGCTTCTAGAGCCCACGGGCTAGCCCAATGTCCTGTCATTCTAAAGCAAAGCTCTCAGCCAGAAGGAATGCCCAATATTTCCTAACTTATCTAAGCTATCATTCAATGATTTTTCTCAAAGCAAAAGTACTAATTTATTTTTGGTTTTTTGAGACAGGGTTTCCTGGACTCATTCTGTAGACCAGGCTGGCCTGGCTCTACCTTCTGAGTGCTGGGACTAAAGTTGTGCATCACCACACCTGGCCAAAACACTATTTTAAAAGCATAAGGCCTAAACAGTGTTATTAACCCAAATGTGTTATAAATAAAAAATTTATTAATGTTTTTCACTAAGAGGTCAAAATACAATACTTACACATCTCACTAAAAGGAGCCAGTTAAATTGTTCCCTTGGCTTTGCAATGAAACAAGCAGATCGATCTTTTCCATGCTCTGACTGCTGTTCACAGAGGGGGCCAGCGGGGACGTCTCCGGCATTTGTTGAGAAAGAAGTGTTGTCACAGAAGACTGGCCCTCATTTTGTGGTTGGCCTGGCTGATTTATGGCCATCAGCTGATCTGGCAATGTGGCTGGTCCAGAGGTTAAAAGCTGACTACAATCTGAAGAGACAGCAAAATCAGAAATACCTGGTTAGTTAAGATTTGTGAAAAACAAAAACAAAAACAAAAAACAAAAAACAAAAAACAAAAAACAAAAACATTGTTTTTGCGAGGGGAAATTCACTATGCTGATCTAACTGAGGTACTTGACAGCCTAAAGAAATGGTTTTCACAGGCCGACACTAAAATTTATCTTGGAATTCCTCTAAACATATATAAAAATACTACTGAGGCTGGGTATGGTGGCATACACCTTTAATCTTAGCATTTGGAAAGTAGAATAGATGAGCTTTTGTACCAGCCTGGTGTACACAGTGAGTTCCAGGACAGCCAGGACTACATACTAAGAGTCTATCTCTAAATAAAGAAATAAACACATTCATACAAATGAAAGTACTACCTAGGTATCAATCAAATCCTATGGAATTACTTGATATAACATGAAAAAAAAAATGGGTGTCTCCCTCTTTAGAAAACAGCTTGATATTTTCTGTCATTCTTATTTCATTCTTTCAAATTAATAGCTTAAAATGGCAGACACATTTTTTACACCTCACTACATTTAACCCTCTTAATATTTTTGTGAGGTATAAAAATTATCACTTCTTTTTGGTTTCTGCTTCTGAGACAAGGTCTCATGTATCCTAGGCTGTCCTCAAACACACTATGGAGCCACAGATGACTTTGAATTCCTGATCCTCCTGTCTCCACCTCTGAAGGGCTAGGACTCCTGGCATGTACCATTATGACTAATCTAAAATGATCATTTTGAAAATATGGTAATAAGGCCTATAAAGGCTAAATAACTTGTCCAAGAACCCAGTCTTTAGTTGGAATTTTCTACTCTGTTCTTAAACCACTCTGCTTTGAGCTTCCTTATAATAATCTCAAATGAATACTGAGAAATTTGACTTTCTTACTGTTTTGAATGCCAAATAAGAACATTCCTGAAGTCTGCTGAGAAGAGCCAGGAGAATTCTGTAGTTGGTTCATTGTGCCTCCTGTAGTATTGTGAAACAAAGTGGCCTGTGGCTGGGGTGAAGAAGTGGCTCCTTGGATTCCAGGCATGTTGTTTTGAGTGGAATAAAGAGGAGACTGCTGCATGTCTGGCTGGTTTATACTGGTTTGCAATGCAGACATGGATGCTGGAGAGAGGAAGAGTGTTACTTGCTGCTCTTGAGAACTAGGTGACCCTTGAACCAACTGGATCTGAGGAGAATTATGGAACAAGGTGGTCTGTGGTGACTCAGATTGCGTAGGACCTGGGTTCTGAAGTGAGGAAACAGTAGGCTGATTCTGAAATTGCATGGGCTGCTGCTCTTGATTCATTGGAGTCATATTACTTTGCTGTTGAAAAATTGACTGGTTCTGCTGCTCCTGACTAGCCATTGGGTTTTGGTTTGGACTAAATATCAAGTTTGGTGGTGGCTGCTTCTGAGATGTCATTGTAGCCATGGCATTCTGATTACTGAATAAAATGCTCTGCTGCTGTTGTTGTTGCTGCTGCTGCTGCTGTTGTTGCTGCTGCTCCTGGGATGGAGAGTTACTCTGCATGCCAACTATTGAGCGCTGTGTTTGGAAAATTGTGCCTTGCTGGTTTTGAGGCATTGGATTAGGTGGAAGGGAGCCAAGGGCCACCGGAGGCTGAAACAAACCTTGCTGAGAGGGTTGTGCCTGTTCCTGGGAAAGAATAGGGGCCTGAATGTGTGAGATTGGAGGCTGCTGTTGAAAAGCTGCTTGCTGCTCAGTGTTTGATGTTGACTGAAGTGGAGAAATTGAGTTCTGTGTTGCAAAAAATGAAATCTGTTCTTCTTGGGCTACTGTGTTAGTTTGAAGATTATTTATAGAACTTTGGGAAAGAAATATGTTGGTTGACTGCTGATCTTGAGAAACTGATGAGCCCTGTAATACAGTGATGGTATTCTGGGAGTGAAACATTGAAGGCTGCAACTGTTCAGAGGATGCTGTGGAAGTCTGACTGTGGACAATAGGATTTGGACTATGAAAAATTGAACCTTGAGTATCCTGGGAAAGGTTCTGAGCATCAGCAATAGGATTTTGAGGATGAAAGAGCTGAGCCTGTGAATGAGAAGGCTGCTGCAAAAAGTTCCCAGACTGAAGTGATATCATCTCGCTCCCTTGCTGGAACAAGCTATTCCCTTGTTGCTGGGTACCACTATTCTGAACACTCATTATGTTTTTTGTAGATGAAAAGATGTTTACTTGAGATTGGCTATCTGCACTGTGCTGCATTTGAACCATTGTCTGAAAGACACTGTTCTGAATCTGTTTTGCTTGTGCTCCAGTTTCTTCTCCATCTCCTGAACTTGGTGCCTGAAACATAGTGGAGCCAGGGGTTGCAACCTGCGGTGTGGTGGTTGTAGAAGTTTCATTTCCAGAAACTGTGGGGGAAGAAGAGAACAACTCACATTGCATTTGCATATCCTCGTTGGTAGGCAGTGCACTCATCATGTGTGAAGGCTGCTGGTAAACTGGAGACTGCTGAAGGCTTCCATTTGCTGAAGCAGCTGAGGGAAATAGTTCTGACTGAATCTGGGCAGCTGCTTGGCAAATGCTCTGCTGCATCTCCATCACCATTGCAGCGGATGACTCCATCACTTGCTGCTGCTGTTGCTGCTGCTGCTGCTGCTGCTGATTAGAGAGTGTGTTTTCAGTCTGCTGATGGACACTGTCAGCTCTCCCAGGTAGTAAGTTATCTGGTCTGGTGTGAACCGCAGACTCAGTAGAGGAAAACATTCCAGGGCTTACACTATTTTGAATTTGACTGACTTGGAAAATGTCTGCATTAAGCTGTTCTTGAACATTCTCATTACCGTCTGGAGCAGAAAACAGAACAGAAGATAACTGTTGTTGTGCCTCTAAAACCTGTTGGACCAAGTCAACACTTCCACTGCCACCACCAGCAGTGCTGCCTGTAAAACTTCCTGCTTGCAGCTGCTGAATAGTACTCTGGAGCTGACTCACACTATTTGGTGATGGAAAAATATTTGATGATATCTGCTGCTGTAATGTCTGTGCTTGTTCTTGTAGTGGGGACTGCTGTTGCTGTGATGCTTCAGTCAACTGTGACAAATTAACCACTGTGCCATCTGACTGTAATGTGTCTCTGGACTGAGCTTCTCTTGTCTGAAACTGTGTAGCCTGCTGCAGTAGTGCATCACTGCTGGGCAGCTGACTAGAAGCAGAAACTGCTGGAAAAGTCCCAGGCTGTGAGATGTCCTGTGTTTGGATAGTTGTCAGGGTCTCTGGGTTGTATGTTTTGGGCTGAAGCTGCTGATTTTCATTTTCAGAAGGCAAGTGGGAAGATGATGGTGACGAAAAGGGCGCATTTCCTGCTATGTTAGAAATAGTTTCTAAAGTTTGCTGGGTTGATCCAACTGTCTTTGTAGTCTGAAAAATAAAAAGCCACAAATAATATGTACATATAAATATTAAATAATCACATGTATTACTCCAAAAATTATTCCTAAGAATACATGCAGAATAAATTTTCTACTCTCCACTATCAACTAGAAGTCAGTGAAGACCGATTCTTTATGATATAATGTCTGACTTTCAGTTGTAAAGACAGTCAAACAAAAAGAACAATCAGTTATAGATATATTTGGTCAAATTAAGAATAATCAGAGAACATTAATCTTAAGGTTTATGTGTAACCACGTTCAAAACACTTCTATACTATGGACCAAAAGTAACATTACAAAGGGAAAAACAAGTGAAAAGGAGAATTAAAAAAACAGTAGAGGAGGAACCATAATCAAAGTGTTTCTACCTTTGAAAATGCTAAAATCAGTGCTTTAATTTTAAATCAATTAATTTTGGGGACAGGGTCTTTCTGTGTAGCCCAGGCTGGCCTTGAACTCACATCCTTGGTTCCTTGGTCCCAAGACCAACTTGAAGTATTCTATAAATACCACCCATCTCATAGGCATTAATTCCTCCTCTTGCCAAAATGTGTACTGAAGTTACTTTATAAGCAATTTTACTGATGTATAAAACATTTGCTCTGAAAAGTAAAATTCATTAAGCATATCCAATGGAAAACAAATGTCAATGAAACAACAAAGGTGAAGATAGCAATTTTTCATATATAAGAAAAGATATGGGGTACAGGCTAGAGAGGTGGCTCAGCAGTTAAGGGCCCTGGCTGCTCTTACAGAGGCCCTGAGTTCAATTCCCAGCAACCACATGGTGGCTGACAACCATCTATAATGAGATCTGGTGCCCTCTTCTGGCATGCAGGTGTACATGCAGACAAAGCACTCCTACATTTGATAAATACATAGATAAAATAAAAATTTAAAGAACCAAAAATAAAAACAAAAGATATAGGACACTAGTTAACTTAACTTACCTGAAAAATAGGGGAAGATCTTTTCTCTGCTGTTACTTCCATTGGAGTGACATCTTCAGTCTTAATCATACTGCTTGATATCAGTGGAGTGATCAAGGCATTAGGAAGAATATTTACCTTATCTAAGTTACATCCACTCGTTTTCATTGCTACACAAATAAAAAAGAAAAGTTGTAATTCATAAAAACAATGTTTACTATAAGCCATGGTTTAAATCTATTTTTTCCCTTTGTTTGAAGTAATCTCTACACAGTCTACATTGGCTTCAAACTTGTCATCTTTATGCCTCAGCCTCCAAGAGCTCAAAGTATAGGTGTGTCGTACCACCATACCTGGCTTATATGCCAATTTTATTTACTTATTTACTTAAATGTCTATTTTTTGTGTGTTATAATGCACAATACATTTATTTCTACCTCATTTCTGAGAGAGATTCATGTAGTCCAGGCTGGTTTCAATCTAGATATATAGCCTAGGATGACATCAAATTTCTGATCCTCCTGCCTTTGCCTGGAATTACATGTATGAGCCACTATGCTTGATATGCAGAGACAATTATTGAGCCCTGGGCTTAACTCATGTTAGGCAGGCACTCTGCCCACTCTTCTACATCTCTGCTCTTACCTAACCTCCCTTTATTGAAGTGTGATTGGCTTAAAGATTCTTGGTATGGACTGAGAAGGCAGACTTATTTATGTGCTACTATGATGAGGAATCAAACCTAGAGTCAGATGATGCAAGCTAGAAGAGAGCTCCAATACTAAAGAAATACCCATAGCTAAGTGTCCTGAGTTATAAACTATGGAACAGGGACAATGTCTTAGCATATTTTAGCATGCAGACTGGTAGTCTCCAGGAAATTAAACACTCAGTTATAATCAAGTATTCAAAACTTTTAAGACTGAGATTATAAAAGTATTTCTCAGCAAAAGTTTTTTAAAAAATCAAGTAATTTACAAATTTTGTTCTCTGAATGAATTATTTTGGAAACTTGAACAATTCAAGGTGTTATATTAAATGTGTTTCTCAACCATTTTCTACCTCTATCAACCTCCACTTTCAATAGCTATCGATTTACAGTTGGGAGAGGCAATTATTACTACCTTTCAACTCTACTTCTCCCCAACGCCTTGATTCTTTTTCTTTCTTCTTTTTAACCTTTACTTGAGTTTGCCATTGGTACTTTATGGAGCTTACTGTTATTGCTAGGGGCAGTCTCTGAACTGATCATGAAGCCTGATCTAGACATTTGAGACCCAAACTCTTATTACCTTGAGACTCTGAAAAGAAATACAGATCTTTTTTTTTTCTTCAAGACAAGGTTTCTCTGTGTAGCCTTGACTGTCCTGGACTCACTTTGTAGGCCAGGCTGGCCTCGAACTCATAGAGGTCCGCCTGCCTTAGCCTCCCTTAGTGCTGGGATTAAAGGTGTGCGGCACCACAGCCAGCTGCGTAATACAGATTCTTCCTTTCCTTTCCTTTCCTTTCCTTTCCTTTCCTTTCCTTTCCTTTCCTTTCCTTTCCTTTTTCTTTTCCCCTTTCCTTTCCTTTTTCCCTTTCCTTTCCTTTCTTTCCTTCTTCCTTCCTTCTTTCTTTTTTGAGACAGGGTTTCTCTGTGTAGCCCTGCACATCCTGGAACTCATTCTGCAAACCAGACCTGGTCTCAAACTCGGAGATCCACCTGCCTCTGTCTCCCAGAATGCTGAGATCACAAGCATGCACCACTGCACCCAGCCAAAATACAGACTCTTAAGATGGAACAGACTATTATGCAGCTCCTGCTGGCCTCAAACATTTCATCTTCTTTTCTCAGCTTGCAGAGTGCTAATGTTACAGGTCCCATGCCACTATGCCTAGCATCTCATAAACTTTCAGATACCATTAGTTTCATTTTTATTCAGTTTATTTTTACATTTCCTTTTGCTATCTCTGCTCTCTTTAAAAAATATTTTTACTCTGTATGTATGAATGTTCTGCCTGCTAGCAGGTATGTGCACCATGCAACCACAAATGTCAGAAGACGGCACTGGATCCCCTAAAATGGAGTTACAGATGGTTGTGAGCCACCATGTCAGTGCTGCTGGGAATGGAAACCGGATCCTCTGCAAGAGTGGCAAATGCTCTTAATTACTAAGCCATTTCTTGAGTCACCTGCACTCTGTTTTTGAGACAGTTTCATGTTTCCCAGGATGGTTTAAAGCCAAAGCCAAAGATAACCTTGAATTTTTGATACTCCTGCTTTCCCTTTCCAAGTACTGGGATTACAGGTGTACAACACCATATCTGGTTTATGTAATGCTGGAAAGACAACCCAGGGCCTGATGCTGTTAGGCAAGCACTTTGCCAACTATGCCATATCTCCAGCTGAAAAACTCTTGTCTCTGCCTCCAAAGTGCTGAGGTTCAAGGTGCATGCCACTACTGCCCAGCTCAAAACTTTCTCTTAATGTAAGATTTTCCTATTCTCTTTTTATTAGTTCTGAAATTACACCAGAGTGGCCTCCTCCTGTCTCTACCATTATTACTGATTTCTTATTTGATTCTACTATAAGTTCAAAGACATAATTTCCCCCAGTTTCAATTAAATATAACTAGCAACAACAACAAAAAATCTCAGCAGTTTTCATTTCTATAATTTCCATTTGGTTCTATTTTTAGTTTTGACTTTCATTTCAAGAGAATTTAGAATTACTTGTGGCATTAATTTTATGGTCTATCTTTTTGTTAGATAGTTTCAACACTTTTCTTAATATTCACCTTAGTTATCTTTTCTCATTCAAATTATTTTTCTTGGTTCATAATATAAGAAATGATTTTAAAATTATTTCAAAGTCATGCTGGGTTTTGTGTTAGGAGATGTGACTCCACTTAAACTGACTTAAGCAGGTTTAACTTGCTCACTTTGTTGAACTTGCACAGTTTCTGGTTTACCTAAGTATATCTGGTCTGTCTATTCATAACTCTACCTGATGTGAGTGATGCTGTCTACCTAGAAGAAAGTGCTTTCTTGGGTTATTGGTGTCTTTGGAGAGGTAAGTGAGAAGAGCATTTCTCCCGTATGCTTTTTCTGGGATCATAGTGGCAGCAGTCTTTCTAATCTATCATTGCTGGTGTTGTTAGGGTAGAGAATCATCTACATGGGCTGCTTCTAATATCTTTGGGTACATGTGACCAACTGGGATGCCCATCTGGTTAGCTTTCAGACACTAGGCTGACATTTTTGTTTGTTTTTTTAACACAGGGTCTCTCTACATAGTCCTGGCTGTCCTAGAACATACTATGTACACCAGGCAGCCTATAACTTACAAATATCCACCTGCTTCTGCCTCCCAAGTGCTGTCACTAAAAACATGGGTTGTCACACCTGGCTCTCATCAGCACAGACTGATTTTTGTCACTAGATAGAGGGTTGGAAGATTCCTAGCTTAGCTCTTCTACTTGGGTGGAGTGTTAGGAGCTGCTGGGCTGGGTAAGAGAAAGGAAATACTGAGCTTGCATGTATCACCAATACAGAGAGGGCTGGCTTGCTGTTGTGTGGTATGGCACAGGGGATGCATCAGGATCCACTGTTGCCATTTTTGGAGGCGGACTGAGCGCTGCTGCTGCATATGGGTAGCTTAGTGGACACTGGCCCTCCTGAGTTCTGTGGACTCAGTGCTGCTGACAGGTGTAGATACTGAGTGTACTGGTCCTCTAAGGACTGCTGTTGCCACAGCAGGTACGATGGGGATACAGACTGACTTGTAAACTTTCCTAGTGTGTTTGTTGGGCAGATAAGTCATCTCATACACTCTATGAACTTCAATGACTTCTTTTACACTTTAAAGTACTTTTAATAGGTGAATTATTTATAAGCTATTTAAAAGTAGTTAGGAAAAGCAAGGACAAGTTAGCTTACATATTTTTTGTTTTGGCCCTAGAACCCATAATAATGATTTGATGGATCTTAAAAAAAAAAAAATTAAATGGGGTTTAGGAGACAGACCAGTAGCAAAGCAAGCATGTGTGCACACATACAAACATAATAACAATTTTTTTTTAAATTAAAAGGCTTGAGATACTACTATTATTTTTCTTTTCTACATTTTCAATGTGTACTACTGAGTTCTATAATATTGTAGGCGTTATTCTATGTTCTGAGGGTTCAGTGATGATTAGGATAAATAGTGTCTTCACTTCCTGAAAATTGTATTTCAGTGATGAATGAAAAAAAAAAAAAAGTGAAACATACAGTCTCTGATGCTAATGGCTGGTGGGATACTTTTTAAACCAGTTCAGAAAAGCCAAATAATACACAAAATATACAGATTTCATTATTTGTTGGAGGTTGGTCTAATGCTGATTATTGGCCCTCACAATCTCTTGAGGACAGAGAGAATCGTGGGAAACAGATGGAGAGGAAGAAGGAGGATGCCATGATGAATTAGCCTGAAGAAGAAACCATGTGGGGCTGGGAGGAAGGACTTTAGTAATGGCATGAAAAGGCCCAGATGAAGAATAAAAGCAAGTATTTATAAGATTATGGATGGAAAATAGGAGGATTAAGGATGGTATTGAATGGGGGCTGGGAGATGGATGCTGAGGTGATGCAGACAGCATAGGTAAGAATATCTGCCTGGCCCAAGGCAAATGAGGCAATTATAAATCTAACAGGTGTCTGTGTCTTACTACTTGTGATAGTGAGCTAAATAATACCGCCATGATAATCTTAGGGCTAATAATAAATATTATATAGCCCAATACTCATTTCACTTATTTACAACAATTACTCCAATACTGAGTTGAACTTGTGAACAACACTGCTATTGACATTTGTTTATATGAAACAACTTTAGAAACTCAGGAAAACAAATTTTCCTGAAAGTATGTTGTGACCAAGTAGAACTCACACCAAATAAAAAAATTTTTTTGAGACAGGGGTTCTCTTGGCTGTCCTGGACTCACTTTGTAGACCAGGCTGGCCTCGAACTCATGGGGATCTGTCTGCCTCTGCCTCCCTGAGTGCTGGGATTACAGGTGTGCACTACCAAGCCCAGGCCCAAATATAAATTTTTATTAAAGTATAAGTTAACCAGTTCCAGCAAGTCTGATGCCCTTCATCTGACAAAATATTCCTACATATAAATTTAAAAAGATTTTAAAGTATGAGTTTAAGATTTACAAGGAAGCTGAATGTGGTGGCATATGCCTAGAATCTAAGCTCTTGAGGGGCTGGGGCAGAAGGATCACAAGTTTGAGGTTAGTAAGGGTTACAGAGCAAGATCCTATCAAAACATTCTGGGGTAGCTGAACAGAAGCTCATGCCTGTTATTCCATCTAGGAGTCTGAGGCAGGGAACTGTGATCAGTTCTAGGCCAGCCTGAGTTATAGTGTGAGACCCTGACTCAACCCAAATCAAACCAAAACACTGGGGAGATTTTAAATTTCAACTTTTGTCATTTACTACCTGTGTGACCAACAAACAATTTTTACTTAATCTCTCTAAGCCTTGATTTATTTGCCTATAAAAATGATATAAAGGCATGACATTTTTGTGATTTTGTGTTTGTTTGATTGAGACAGGGTCTCTCAATAGATCCCTGGCTGTCCTAGAGACCTGCCTAACTCTGCCTCTCAAATGCTGGGATTAAAGGCATGCACCACCATGCCTGCCTGGAATACACACACACACACACACACACGTACATATATATGTGTGTGTGTGTGTGTGTGTGTGTATACACACACACACACACACACACACACATATACATATCCCACACATATACACATATATGTGTTACATACATATATATGTAATTCCTGTACATGAAGGGCCAACACTCTATCTCTAAGGCTACATCTCCAGCCTTTCACCTACAAAGTGAGAGTGTACTAATTACTTTCATGGTCCTTTCAAGCCTTAATCTTGCCACATAATTACAACCAGTTAGAAAAAATTGTATGTGCTCAATTGTTATTTAAACTCATTAAATTAACCACATACAAATCAGGGTGAAACAAAGATGACAGAAAAATACAAGGCAGAGATGGAAAAAGTGTTACATTGGTACTTTATCCCTAGGTCTATACATGACTAACTGAACCATCTTTTTAGACTTAACTCTAGCTGCACTAGCACAGGTACTGCACACCATCTAGAAGTGTTCTGAGGAGTAGCTAGAGAGACGGCTTGGTGGTTATGAGCACTGACAGCTCCTCCAGAGGATGTGGGTCTGATATTTACTTGGTGCCACACTGCTGCCAATTACTAGCTGTAGCTCCAGTCCTAGAGGATGGATGCCCTCTTCTGGCCTCCACGGGCAACACACACGCACATGCACAGACGTACATGCAGCCAAAACCACCATACACATAGATAACGAAATGTATTTCTTTCTTTTTTCTTTCTTTCCTCCCTTTCTTTTTGGAGGCAGGGTTTCTCTGTGTATTCTTGGATGTTCTAAAACTCACTCTGTATACCAGGCTGGCTTTGAACTCAGATATCCACCTGCCTCTGCCTCCCAAGTGCTGGGATTAAAGACATGTACTACCACTGCCCAGTAAGAAATTTATTTCTAAGAAACTTCTAAAAAAATTATGTATGTATGTATGTACGTGTGTGTGTGTGTGTGTGTGTATGAGTGCTCTATCTGCATGTACACTTGCATGCCAAAAAAGGACATTAGATCCCCGTACAGACGGTTGTGAGCCACCATGTGATTGCGGGGAATTGAACCCAGGACCTCTGGAAGAAGAGATAATGCTCTTAACCACTGAGCCATCTCTCTACACCCTGTGAGAAACCTTGTTAATACTGCATACCATGCACTTATTGTATTACACTTATATTACTTCTGTGTTAAAGATACATAAACACACACACACATATAGAGTGGGAAAAAGCTTACTTCAGAGAGCTTTCAATATGTAGCCACAGTATTATTTTTGAGTATCAAGATCTAAATGTTACTGCAATCCTTATAAGATTATTGCTGCAACAGAATTTTAAGTGTCATATATGCCATACAGTACTCACCATTAAAGTATTGCTGACTAAATATCCACACAGCATTTTGGCACTATACTAAGACTTCGATTCAAGGAATCTATAAGCTACTTATTAAGGAAAATTCCAAGTTCTGAAGCTATTACTGTCTTTTAATATAGATCAGGAATTGCTACTTAATTATTTTGTTGGGGTTGGGGATTTAGCTCAGTGGTAGAGGGCTTGCCTAGCAAATGCAAGGCCGTGGGTTTGGTCCTCAGCTCTAGGGGGGAAAAAAAGACAAAATTATTTTGTTTATGATGAGAAATGTAAAGTTAAAACCTGTAAAGCAGTTTAGAACTCAATATAATTTATATCACCACAAAATTATTTTATCCTACTTTTAATTGATATAATATTATCAAAATAAAGTCTAAATTGTGAAAAAGAATGTCCATTTCTTATCCAGTTTTTTTTTTTTTGGCTAGTAAGATTTTAAAGTTTTATTTATTTTTATTTTATGTTCATTGGTGTTTTGCCTGAATGTGCATTTGTGTGAGGATATTAGATACCCTGTAGTTGGAGTCAGAGACAATCGTGAGCTGCCATGTGGGCGGCAGGATTTGAACCCAGGCCCTCTGGAAGAGCAGCCAGTGCTCTTAACTACTGAGACAGCTCTCTGGCCCTTGGCTACTAAGATTTTGTTCAAAGAACTAATTCTTTTTTTTTTTTTTTTTTTTTTTACCACTAAAAACAAAACAAAAAAGGCTTTGTAACCTTCAATGTATGACCATATTACCTTTTATATGAAATTTCACACAGAATTGGGCTGTGTTCTACTGAATCTGACACTCTATAAACACAGAGTTAAGGGATAACTATAGTCAGGCATGAGAGCTCACACCTGTAATGCCAGTATGCTGGAGGCTGAGACAGAAGATTGCCAGGAGTTCTAAGCCACCTGGTTAACAGAGTGAGCGAGATCCTGCCTTAAAAACAGGACAGATTACTAACATACCTGACGTTCTTTAGTAATTAGAGCATTCATCTAGTAAATGTGCATTTCCATTCTTTCTTCCCTTCCTTCCATTCTCCCTCCACCCCAACCCCTTTTTTTTGTGACAAGGTCTCAAAATGTATCCCTGACTATCCTCGAACTTGCTCTATAGACCAGGCTGGCCTTGAACTCACAGAGATCCACCTGCCTCTGCCTCCCTGAGTGCTGGGATTAAAGGTGTGCACCACCACCTGGCTGAATGTGAATTTATTTCAATGACTGACACATAGCTATAAAATAAAGCTAAAACAAAATTTCTAGCTAAGTGACCTTATATAAACTACTCACGTTTTGGCTTCCTTTCCTATGAAGAGCTCAGCACAGACTTCAAGTAAATGCTCAATAAATAATGCTCAGTTTAGTACTGAAAATTTTCACTGTAACTGATAAAATTTATCAAGTTCATTATGCCCCTTGAAAACCCAAACTAATATATAATTTCTGAAATTTTATTTAATCCATATGGATTGAAGGGCAGAAAAATAGAAATAAAGCCCTAAATTACAGAACTGTACATTATATAATCTGTACCTTTATAGGTAAAGGCACAAAAGCACTATCACCACAGAGTATAACTGTGGACCATAATCTGCCCTACCACATGGTAAAAGACTGAAGTTGGTTTATGCCTGTTGCTTCCTTTGCACTTGGGTTGTTTGAGATAGTCCTAGTATGAAGGATAGATGGGTCTTGAGCTCATGAAAAATACCTTGCTAAGTGTCAGAGTACATCAGAGAAAACAAACCACTAAGGTTTGCTAATAAACACATAGGATGCCAAATCAGTTTTTGAGAAGAATCAAGTTCGTACCTTTCATGGCTTCTTCAAAAGAGCAAGGTCTTGCTGGACTAGATATCTCCTTTTTCACATTTACATTCAAAGCAGCAGCTGCTGATATTAAAAATAAAAGTCATACATTTATTTCAATTTATTTTTCTTGGTAAAATACATATTCTAATACTCTTTAACTGGAGTAACTTCTCAGCACATCATTGACTTGTTTACTAAAATCCCTGGTTAAGGTAATTTCTTATAACAACAGACTACCCTCTAAAATATCTCATCTCCAAGTAGATAGAACACATGATCACTTACCAAAACAAAAAAATTTTAAGAATCCTTTTTAATACTGAACATGTTGGTAACATGAGATGAATAGAAGACTGACACCACATATTAGACATCTGACACGCAACATCAGAGCACTAGCAATAAAAATGTATTCTTTACTTATATAAACTTATTTAAAAGTACCAACTGGAAACATTTGTCAATATTTAAAGTAAATTAAAATACATATAGTGAACATACTAGGTCAATAACATTATGATTATTCTTTTAGTAAAACTCTGAAAGAATCTTTGCTACCATTAACAGAGAACTGCAGGGCTATTACAGCTAGTTATATTAAATCTTCTGTAACACCTTTTGATTTAATGAGCTGAAGACAGAGATCATTTCTAAATGATAATATTAAACAAAAAATGAGTAGGTTCTGCTTCAAATGGTCATTATTTTTATTTATTATTATTATTTTTTGAGACAAGGTTTTCTGGCCTGGTGCTTTACAAGCCATGGATAGCAACCCCTCAGGGGTTACATAGAAGATATCCTGCATATCAGATATTTAATTATGATTCATAACAGTAGCAAAATTACAGTTAAGAAGTAGCAACAAAATAATTTTATAGTTGGGGGTCACCAAAACATGAGGCAATGTTTTAAAGAGTTGCAGCATTAGAAAGGCTTGAAAACCACTGTGACCTAGCCCAACCAAGAAGTCATGCATTTTGCTAGACTAGCTGGCTACTAAGCCTCAGAGATCTTCTTGCTTCTATTTCCCCAGTGCTGTGATTACCAATGTAGTTGTGTGAGCCACCACGTGGGTTTTGGGAATTAGACCTGGGATCTCTGCAAGAGTAACAAGTTCTCTTAACCACTGTGCTGGCTGGTCTTACATCAACCTGACACACAAAATAGAGTTATCTGAAAGGAAGAAACCTCAATTGAGAAGATGCCTCCACAAAATCCGGCTGTAAGGCATTTTCTTAATTAGTGATCAATGGGGGAGGGCCCAGCCCATTATGGATGGTTCCATCCCTGGGCTGGTGGTCCTGGGTTCTATAAGAAAGCAGGATGAATAAGCCAGGGGAAGCAAGCCAGTAAGCAGCACCCTTCCATGGCCTCTCCCTCAGCTCCTGCTTCCAGGTTCCTGTCCTGTTTGAGTTCCTGTCCTGATATCCTTTGACAACGAACAGCAATATGGAAATGTAGGACAAATAAACCCTTTCATCTCCAATTTGCATTTTGGTCATAAAATTACATTTATTTCTTGTTTATGTGCATGCATATATATGTACAACAGCACATATGTGGAGATCAAAGGGCAACTTGTGGGAACTGGTTCTCTTCTACCACATGGGTCTCAGGAACTGAACTCAGGCTCCTAGGTCTTTACCCAATGATAGTCTTGCTGAATCCAGCCTGTTACTTTTATCTAAAACAAATTCTAGTTTCTATTTATCAAGGCTTGTTTGCTTTGTTTTGAAGAAGGTATTCCTAACAGCCCAGGCTGCCTTCAAACTGGCAATCTTAACGTATTAGGCTTCTGAGTGCTGAGATTACAAAGTTGGAACCACCCAGCCTGGTTTTCAGTGTTTTAAGCATATAATTAGTATGCAGGGGTGAGCATGTCATGACCATCAACTTAATTATTTTACATTCATAAACATATCCAAAATGAGATTTGAGTTGGTTTACTTTTAATGCACTATTTCTCATGACAACATCAAAACAATTATTTCTAAATGAATAAAAAGACAAAATTGGGGGCTGGAGAGATGGCTTACTGATTAAGAGCACTTGCTGTTCTCATAGGGGACTCAGTTCTACATGGCCACTCCCAACCTCCTGGCTACAACTCCAGTTCCAGGGGACCCAACACCCAGGCTAGGAAATCCCTAATGACTTTTACCTGCCTCCCCAGAGCTGGAGTCACAAACACATGTCTGACTTTTGATGTGGGCTCTGGTGATCAATTCACGTCTCTAAACTTGCAAGGCAAACACTTCACTGATGGAACATCTCCTCAGCTCTGCCCTCGGTTTTTTTTTGGTTGTTGTTTTGTTGCAGCAGCTTTCTTTCTCTCTCACTTTTCCTCACCTTCTATCTTACTGGGTCCCAAAGTATGTGGGAATAACTATCAATAAACTGCAGATGCAGAACTGCTCATTCTGAAATAACCCTCATATTAAGACAAACTGAACCAATAATAACTATAGCAAAAACTGAGCCAGTAATTTTCATTTCCAATATGTTCTTCCCATTTCTGTCGGAGGCTTTTTAATTTTTCAGGCAACTAAACAAAACAGGCAAGTAACTCAGAAGTCACATTTTGGCTAAATATCTCTAAACTTTAAACATTTCAGTTGCTTTTGTGTTCTGATTTCTAAATTAAGTGCTTAAAATTATAATTAAAACATTTATTATTGTAAGACAGTGTGGCACACACCTTTAATCCCAGGACTTAGAAGGCAGAGGCAATCAGATCTCTGAGTTTGAGACCAGTCTGGTCTACAGAGCGAGTTCTAGGACATCCAAGGCTACACAGAGAAACCCTGTCTCAAAACAAAAACAAAAACAAAAACAAAAACAAAAACAAAAACAAACCAACCAATCAAACAAACAAAAAACCACCAAGACATTTATCATCAGTCTGATCACTTCAGTGTCATCACTTAACACTGCAAATTTCTCTTTTTCACCTGTTTCAAAATGCACACCAGGGCGAAAGGTATATAGTTCAAGTTATGTAGTGGTCAAGCATGTGGTTAACATACTTCAGGCCCTGGAATCAATCCCAACATGATGAGGGATGGGGGTGGGAGGGGAGCATAAAACAGCCAAACTAAAGTATTAGCAATTTCCCAGCTGTGAGTTTCACATTTCTACATTTAAGAGGCACTCAATGAACAGTTACATTCCCTAGAAAGTGACCTGTGACAAACTCGGGTGCACCTGAGCTCAAGCACTGTTAGCTATTTTATTATTAGAGAAGAGATAGACATGATTCTCAGAGTAACAGTAGTGTCTGGTAGCCATCCTTTTATAAAATAACCAGGCATCTCCAAATCAAGTTAGTAGGAATTCATGTTTATAATTTTTTTTCTTTTTGTTTGTATGGACTTCAAACTTTTAAGGGACTAGAAATTATTAATATTAGTTCAAAAATTTTCATTTCGACATACCTGGGTCTGGAGTGTAAGTAAATGGCTGAACATCATGAGATCTTCCAGCATTGGTCACAACATATATTCCCACTGATACAGGCAAAGTTATATGTTGGTCATGATATGGAGGGACTTTCACAATAAGATGGTTCTAATTAAGGAAAGTATAAAAATCAGAAAGGAAGCCAATGTTTAAGCTTAAAAAATTAAGTACATTTACTATCATCTGTACAGTTTTTAAAAGCTTGATTAGAAAAAAACAATGTATTAGATTTTTTGAGGCAGGTCTTGCTATGAAGCTCAGACCTGCCTCAATCTCCAGATCTTTCTGCTTCATTCACACTCCTGCATGCCGGAATTACAGGTGTGGGCCACTACATTATGCAAAAATGGATGATTTAAAGTTCAGGTTGATATGTGCTATGTCATTCATCTTAGTATTTTGTTCCCAGCAAAGCCCAAATGTTTTACAACAGATCACAAGGTCCCTGCTTGGTCAATTTCAACACCCTTTCTCTCTCTAATATTTTATTTCTGTTTTCCATTTAATAGGAGCTCTAAGCTGAATGGTGGCGATACATGCCTTTAATCTCAGCGCTTGGGAGCAAAGGCAGGTGGATCTCTCTGAGATCAGCCTGGTCTACAAAGTGAGTTCCAGGACAGCCTGGAACTCACAGCCAGCGCTGTTACACAGAGAAGCTCTGTCTCAAAAAAACAAAAAACAAAACAACAACAAAAAGAAAGCTTTAAGTCAGTTCTCTAGGACACCAGTTCTGATTCTATTCTAAGAAAATGTTTCGAGAGAGGGAGGGTGAGATTGGGAGGGAATGAAGGAGCAGGATACAGCTGGGATACAAAGGTAATAAACTGTAACTAATATTAAAAAAATAAAAATTTAATTAAAAAAGAAAATATTTCCCAGAAAAGCACTTAACTCATCTTTCTGTTGTTTAGAAAAAAAATTTAAAAATAAACAAAATCACAGAACCAATGACTAAATCACATTATCATTTAGTTTCTTCATAAATTCACTTGCAAAAAGTTCAAGACTGGGCTGGGGAGATGGTACACCAGGTAAAACTGCTTGTTGAAAAAGCCTGATGACCTAGTTTGATCCTAGAACCCACATAAAGGTGGAAGGAAAGAAGTGACTCCAGAATTGTCCACTGACTCTCATATGCACCCATATCACACCTCCACACCGCTATACAACAGTAAAACAAACAAACAAACAAACAAACAAACAAAAAACCCAACCCTTTAACTCAACCTCTAACACTACATTTGCCACACAAACCTGATGACCTGATTTGATACCTGGATCACAGAGTGGAAGAGAGCCAAGTCCATAAATCTGTCCTGACTTACACACATACTACATGTCATATGTGCCTACACATACACACACATTTTTACTATTAATAGTAAAAATTTTAAATGTAACTATTTTCTTACCAAATCATTATTTTAAATACCATATAAATATCACTTATATTCTCGAATACAAATATAAATGTATTATAATAAATCTAATTATTTGATTAACTTGTTATTAAATTTATTAATATATTAATTAGAAATCCATTATATAATTAACAGAGTACAAGACATATAATTATAATTAATAATACAAAGAATGGACACAGCTCAATTGGTATGCTTCTCTATCCTGTATGAAGCCCCAGTACTGCAGAAACCAGGCAAAGTGATAAGAGTTTGTGACTGAAGCACTTGGGAAACAGCAGCAGAAGTTCACAATCATCTGTGGTTACATAACAAGTTTACAACCAGCCTGGACTATATGAGACCTTGCATGAAAAGAGAAAAAAAGGGGGGGGGGGCGCGGAGGTGTCTGGGTAACATCCTATTCCTCAGAAGAGAAGAAAGAATAAACAAATGGATAGAAGGGAAGGAGATAGGAAAGAAAGAGGTGTGAGAAAAGAGGATATGGAAAGGATGATAAAGGGGAGAGAGGAAGGGTGAAGGAGCGAGAATACCACAATCAGGAGATCACACTAACCACGTGTCAAAACCTAAAACATGTACACAGTAAGACCCTGCCTGAAACAGCAACAACAAAAACGAAAACATGTTCATACTGCACAAAAGTAGCCTGTGAGTAATAAGGCTTCAGACAGTAGTGAATCTAGAGACATAAGAATTAAATTAGGACAAGGGGTTGAAGTGTCCACAGAAAAAACAGGCTTTAGATCAGAGTACACTTTTCCTTCCAAGAGAAAGAAATTAACTGAAAGTCTCCATGGCTCTCTATTACGAGCTTGGTATTGCAAGGATCCCACTTGTTCCTAACTGACAAAGGTGCTCTAGAGGACATTACTGATAGTCATGGAGAGTGGAGTTCCCTGATTATATGAAAGAATAAATGAAATTTCAGAACTGGAAGAAACCTCAAACAACTGAGTTGTTATCCAAACAAAAATGAATTAATTGCTGAGTAAACAACAAAATTATTAAAAGTTTAAATTATACCTGATGGAACAATTCCATATCAATTTCAGCTTCTGATTTCCAAGAGTTTTCATCTGATGGAGATAAAAACAGTGACTTAAAAATTTTTCAACTTTTCCATTGTGTAGCTGTAACTGTATTTTGGTAACAAGTAAAACATAGAACACTCTCTCTACCTCTTCTCTGCCTACTTACCAGAAACATTTTCCTGGAATATAACTTTAGTCCCTTTTAGAAAGTTCTTGCCGATTAAAAACACTTCTTCTTCTCCTTTCACTGAACAACTATGCAAGCTTTTCTTTAAGATCTCAGGAACTCCTGCTGGCTGAGCTGTGGATATACACATGTAAGTATTTCATAAAAAGAGCACTAACATTTAAAAACAATTTACCTAAAAACAACTTGAGGGGCTGGAGAGATGGCTCGGAGGTTAAGAGTACTGGCTGTTCTTCCAAAGGTCCTGAGTTCAATTCCCAGCAACCTCATGGTAGTTCCCAACCATCTATAATGAGATCTGGTGCCCTCTTCTGGCGTGCAGGTGTACATGCAGGCAGAACACTATGTAATCAATCAATCTTTAAAAAAAAGCAACTTGAAATTATGAACCCAGTTTTATAAATTGTTTTGTTGATTATTAATTTTTTTCTTTACTACATTTTAGTATAATTAAAAAGCAAACCAGGTTTTGGATGACCAAGAAGAACTATCAAGGTCATAATACCTATAATAAGCTAACAGGATGTTCAACTGAATGGAATAACATTTTTCTTCTGTTTTGAAATCAAATATAAGTTATAAAAAAGCAGTGCCAATTCAGGCACTGGTTTAGAGCACTCAATCCCAGAGTAAGATAAAGCTGGGTAAATGGCTTAGTGGGTAAGGTGCTTGCCAAGCAAGTATGAGGGCCTGAGCTTGGATTCTTAGCACTTACATAAAAGCCAGTGTGGCGACACTTGTCTGGAAGCCTGGTGCTGGAGGGCAGAGAAAGGAGGATCCCTGGATCTCACTGGCCAACAGGTCTAGACAAATCTCAGGTTCTCTGAGAGAGCCAGTCTCAAAATAAGGTGGAGAGTGACTAAGAAAGACATATTTGTACACATGCACATGTACCTGTATGCACACTTGTCCACAACCACAAAGACACTCACACACAATAAATAAATAGAATCTGAGGCAGAATGACCTTAAATTGTAGGCTACTTATCAAGGAGCCCCTCATCAAAAAAATAATACAAATAATCCACAATAAAAAACCTCCAGAAATAGCTAGGCAGTGGTGGCACACACCTTTAGTCCCAGCAGAGGCAGGTGGATCTCTGTGAGTTTGAGGCCAGCCTGGTCTACAAAACAAGTTCCAGGATAGCCAGGGCTACACGGAGAAACCCTGTCTCAAAAACCAAAACCAAACCAAACCAAACACCCCCCCCACACACACACACAACAAACCCAAAAGAGAAAAATTCTCGGAGCTGGAGAGATGGCTAAGCAGTTAGAGCACTAGATGCTCTTGCAGAGGTCCAGGTTTCATTCCCCGTACATGGGGACTGAGGGCTCTGATACCCTCTTCTGACCTCCTCAGGCACCAGGAAGGCAAAACATGTATACGTAGTAGAAAATAAATAGATCTTTAAAAAAAAGAAAAACAAAGTCCCACTTACTGCTTGTAATAAAGTCTACAATAGTAAAAGGCATACCCTCACTTGTTTTCTTTCTGAAGTTAGACAGAAGTCTCATTTCTCACTCACAAGCACTGTGTGAACTGTACAACCACAACTTATAACCAGAAACATGGCACGGCATTATTCACAAAGTTCTGCTTGTTTTACTTTAATGTTTTAACAGCTCATGGTAAAGATGCTTGGAAGCCTTAGAGCTCGGCCACTCACTTCTGGTATCCTATTTAAATGACTTATTTGTGGGGTCATTGCTGGGAAACCAATCTGGGCCACTTTAAGTGTCACAACCTCCAGCTCAAATTAAGGAAAAAAAATTTTTTTTAATTACATTAACATTTATTTACTCAGTGTGTGGGTATCATACTTGTGGGAGTCAGTCCTCTCCGCCATGTGGGTTTTAGGGATCCATCTCAGAGCATCAGGTTTGGCAAAAAGTGCTTTTACTTGTTGAGCCATTTTAACAGCCCTCAAATTACTTAAATTTTTTTAAAAATTAATTTTATGTGTTTTGCCTGTGTACCACATATATGCAGTGTCCATGGAGATGGAATACAGCATCAGATCCCCTGGGACTGGAATGAAGACAGTTGTGAGCCGCACTGTGGATGCTAGGAATCAAATCTATGTCCTCTAGAGGAACAACCAGTGCTCTTAACCTCCAGCCCTTAAACTTCTTTTAAAATTAGCATATGATATTAGGAAACTCTTAGTAGCTAAATACCTTCCAGTGTGTTTTAATACCTTTATTTCTGAGATGGATTTCCAGTAGCCCAGGCTGTTCTTAACCTCACTATGTAGCCAAGGTGATGTGCATTTCACTTCTGATCCTTTTGCCCCTACTTCTCAAGATCACCTTTAGTTTTGCCTAAAAAACATGACACAACTATTTTTTGCCTGTTTTTCTGACATAGATCTTGTCTATCAGAATAGACAGTGTTCTTGCCTCCACTTTTCGCTTTACTTGATTATAGTCTGTGTCACCATACCTAGCTGACTACACCTTTTTTTTTTTTTTTTTGTCAAAGAGACAGAAATTTGCTTTTTCTCTAGCCTGAACTTTAACTTTAACTTCTGTGTTCAGGTTGTCTTCATGCCTCAGCTTCTTAAGTGGCTAGGAGCATAAGCACCGGCCACTGTGTTCTCCTGGCTATAGTTTTTTAAACGTTTCAAGTTCAACATGAACTGAGAGTATAAAACGTTTTGTTTTTTTTTTTTAAAGATTTATTTGTTATATATACAATGTTCTGCCTGCATGTGTGTCTGCACGCCAGAAAAGGGCACCAGATTTCATTACAGATGGTTAGGAGCCACCATGTGGTTGCTGGGAATTGAACTCAGGACCTCTGGAAGAGCAGACAGCAAGTACTCTTAACCCCTGAGCCATCTCTCCAGTCTCTTAAGTATAAAACATTAAGAAAAACTGATAGAAAGAACTTAAAAGCTCTTCACACACTCAGCACCCCCGTACTTTCTTACTTACTACACAAAATGGGGGACGAAGGTGTCTGCAACGTCAGAGTGGAGCCATCTTTTCTTGTGATGTTAACTCGAAAAACCAATCTGGCACGAGTGCTCTTTTTCTTAGAACCAGCAATTCCTATTCTGGCTTCAACATCAGCATTTCTCAGCTTCAATATTCCTACACAATCCACCCTAAAACAGAAAAAAAAGGATCACATGACTCCGCTGTTGTATAAATAGCATAACTCCTCCCCAACCCAACAAGATTTGTGTGGTCTGTCCTGGAACTCTCTCTATAGACCAGCCTGGCCTAAAACTCATTAGAGACCCACCTGTCTCTGTCTCCCAAGTACTGGGATTAAAGGCATGTACCGCCACTGCCTGCAATAGTGAAATATTTAAAAGCAAGTTTCTTTTTTAAAAAGGCTGAGTCACCACCAGATGGCAGTGGTGCAGGCCTTTCATCCCAACACTCAGTAGGCAGGGGCAAGCAGATTTCTGTGAGTTCAGCATGGTCTACAGAGTGAGCTCTGTAGACCAGGGCATAGCCAGGGCAGTTAAACACAGAAACCACGTCTTAAAAGAAAACCAAAACCCAAACCGAAAAACTAATTCTTATTAATTCTTTGAATATGTAATAGTCATAAGGTCCCAAATTCACAAAATACCAAAGGATAAATTTTAAATATTCAAAGCCCCTAATCTTAATAGTCTTCTAGTTAGATTGGAAAAAACAGTAAAGAAACAATATTATTTTTTAAATATGAACATAAGTAATGGCCTACAAGAGGCATTCTGTGCATGCAGGCATACATGCAGATACAGCACTCAACATAAAACAAATCTTTTAAAAAACTGTATGTGCTTAAATATATTACAGATTAATTAATTAAATAAATGTATATATTTGCCTGCATATGTGTTTGTGTACCACATGTGTGTCTGGAGCTAAAGATGGGCATCAAATCTCTTAGAACCAGCGTGAAAGCCAGCTATAAGGTGTCCTGTGTGTGCTATGTACTAGAACCTAAAACCCCAGTCTTCTGGAAGAGCCATGAGAGCTCTACCCTTAGGTAAACTTTTGAAGGGTACATTTTAGGGTTTTAAAAATATGTTTTTCTGTTTTCTTTTGGAAACAAGGCCCCAAATTTACTATGTAGTCAAGTATGACCTTGCAGTTCTGGCCCTCTGGTTCCACCTCAGAGTGCATGCTAGACATGCATGCACCCCTATGCCGGTCATGTGTCCTGGGAACCAACCTGGGGCTTTACGCATGCTAGGCAAGAATTTACCAACCGAGCTACATCCCCAGACCCCTGGCTGTGTAATTTTTATTTTCAGTATCAATATTAAAATTTTCAATAGGTAAGTCTTGATGTTATCTTCCAAAAAGCACTCTCCTTGGTCTTCATTTCCCTGCCTTAGGAATTCTTTAGGAAAGCAAAATAGAATGTTAGTCTGTCATCATTCTGAAGAAACCCTCTTTGTCTTTTTGGAGTGATCTTAGCCTTTAATGGCTTAGCCATCTCTACAGCCCCATAAAAACCTTTTTAAATAACAGCTTGTTCTATTTGAAATACTTTAATAAGGCCTTCAAAAATCATCTGCAGTGGTGGTACACCTTTAATTCCAGCACTTAGGAGGCAAAGACAGATGGCTCTCTATAAATCTGAGACCAGCCTGGTCTACTAGAGTGAGCTCCACAGCAGCCAAGGCTACACAGAGAATTGTTTCAAAACAAACAAACAAAACCTTAAAAAAAAAAAACAACCCTCAAAATCTTCTATTCTCTAGAACTAAAAATATTTTCCTGATTATCATAAAAGTATAATCTATAATTTAAAAAAAAAAATTCTTGAGAGCTAAGAGAGATGGCTCAGAGGTTCAGAGCACTTGCTGCTCTTGCAGAGGACTTGAGCTGGGTTCCTAGCAGCCATATAGGTTGGCTCATTCTAGTTCCAGGAGATCCAATATCCTCCTCTCATCTCTGTGAGCAACTGCACACACATGATACACATAAGCTCACACAAGGATTCACAAATAAAATAAATCTATTTTAAAATTTGCCAAGAGCCAGGCATAGTGGTGCACACCTTCATCCTAGGGCTCAGGCTCAGCTGTTCTACAAAATAGTTCCAGGACAGCCAGGGCTGTGTAGAAAGATCCTATCTATTAAAACAAACAAACAAACAAACAACCAAATAACCAAAAGAAAAATAAAACCAAAACAACCAAACACAAACAAACAAATAAATAAATGAAAATTTGCTAGGCACAGTGGCACACACCTTTAATCCCAGCATTCAGGTGGCAGATCTCTGAGTTTGAAGCCACCCTAATCTACACAGAGGGTTCCAGGTTAGTCAGAGTGACATACTAAAACCTTGTCTCAAAAAAAAAAAGGGGGGATTAAGTACTTACGCCAGTGTCATGTTGTTGCTAGGATCAAGGCCGACCTCTATAACAGTGGTACCTTCAATGTCCACTTCTTTGCAGGGAGTTGTATTTCTCCCAGTTACTCTACAGGCCTGATAGAATCCGTGTGGTTTCACTCGGCCAGAATCATTGCCCACAAACACCTGCAACACCACTGGTTCATTATGACCTTCCAGCTGGAAATAGAAAATACACAGCATAAACACTAGTTGGCATTTCAAATAAGCTCATTATAAATTAACCATTCAAAATCAAATCCTATAGTTAAAACTAGATGGGGAAATAATTTAAAAATGAAGGAAAACAGGCAAAACTTTTCCTTCCTTTCTTTTTTGGGTACTGAAGACTGAACCTAGGTGCTCACAAATGCTAGGCTAGTACTCTACCCGAGCCATACATCCAGTGCAAAGACTTTCTTTTTTCTTTCTTCTTTTTCAATTTTTTCAGACAGTGATTTCTCTGAGTCGCCTTGGCTGTCCTAGACTGGCTGGCGTCAGACACAGAGATCGGCCTGCCTCTGCCTCCCCAAGTGCTGAGATTACAGGTGTGCACCACCATGCCTGGCTCAAACATTTTCTTATAAAAAACAAAACAAAAATGGAGTCGGGTGTGGTGGCATACACCTTTCATCACAGCAGAGGCAAGCGATCTCTGTGAGTTCTGGGATAGCCAGGACTACATTGAGTTCTGCCTCCAAAAACAAAAATAAAATGTAAGAGGTGGGGACACACTGGAGAAATGGCTCAATTAAAGGCTAGGCACGTAACCAAAAATAGAGAAAAACTGGGCCTTTATGGAAAACTTCTGTACGAGTTCTATGAGAGCTAATTTTAAGATGTGTTATGCTAAATTATCACATACTCTATTTGTTTAGGTGGATACACAATTGCTCAGACAGTATACAGATTACTCAGGATCTGCGACCACACTGACTTATGTTAATGGCGACATTCTTCATCATCAAATGAGAATATAAATGATAAATTTTACTACTTAAGCAGTTTAAGGAGAAACACAGCCATACAAATGACAGGAAAATGAAGTGTATTTTCAAAGACTGAATTATGAAATCCTGGGCCAGAACAGCTATGGTCAGAAGTGCTAGCTTGTTAAGATATGGGATCATTATGGACCTCAGGAAATTGCTCATAAATGATAGCTCATATACAGAATAACAGTGAGTTCCTGGCTAGTCTGGGTTATAGTGAAACGTATCTCAATAAACCAAAACCAACCAGCTAGACAAACAACAATTCAAATGTTATCTAAGTAATATTTGGTTTATGGCCCAAATAGACATTTGTTTCCTATTATAATGAGCTAATAATTCTACCCTTCTATTTCAGGAAGCTTTTTCTGAGGTTACAACAATCAGTAAAATGAAAGGAAGTTATCACATTCATATGTATTATTCTTACATTTATGTGATGGTTATATTTGGGGAGCATATATGTGGGGCGTGTGTGTGCTATGGTGTGGAGGTGAGGATAACTACACAGAGCCAGTTCCCTTCTCCCACCATTAGTCAGCTTCTGGGGATAAACCTTTACCCACAAAGTCACCTCATGGGCCAGTCTTCAAACATTACTAAATAAAATGAGTACCTTCACTGTAGGAAAGCCTTGCTGTGTTCTATCTTTTACTGAGCCTCGGCTGCCCTCTGTCAGGTACCGAGCTCGGTGCTGGGTTTCGGGCTGCACAACTATCTTCAGTTCCTTCCCCTCACTTTTAACTGGATACTGTCCACACAACATAGGGCTCTTCTTTACTCCAGTTCCCTTTTGGTTGTCCAATGTTCTGAGAAGCCAAAGCACAACATGAAAAAAATATCAAAAACAGTTTTCTACAAAAGGTATCTTAGATAAAGGGAGAAACAGAAAGGCAGTAACACTGAAAATAACTGCTTAGCTTATGGATAAATTAGAATACAGTCCACAGGAAGAAACATCCTATATACCCAAAGTATCTTTAAAATATTGTTGAACCAAGTGTAACTAACTATATGCCATGAAAAAGTAAGCTGGACAGGAAAGAGAAAAAAAAATGCAGTTGGATGGTAGGGGGAAGACAGTGGAATAATTATTGTTTTCACACTGCAATTCAGTTAAAATAAAATGTAAAAATTACACACAACGAGTCATATAAAGCTAAAAGACTAATTATGACTAATTTTTAATCAGACTTCTAAAACAAAAGAAAAAAAAAAAAAAGGAAATAGCAAAACTACCAAGCCAGCACAAAAGGCCTAAAAGAGTCAACAATAAAGACACATAGTATATTCTTCTGTATCTCTTCCTCAATAAATCAAAATAAGAAATTTACAATAAAAATCAGTGATTCAATTTTTAGTGAAAAATGAGGTTTACTTTTAAATAGGACCCTCCTGTTGCCCCACCTACCTCAGTCTGTGCCTAGCTATAAGACTGTATTTTAAGCATCTATTTGTTTATAATTTCCTAATGGTAACTAGGACTTCTATAAAGTAGCTAATATAATGAAAATAAGCAGAATAAAATTAACCCTCCCCCTTGAGTAACATGAAACAGATTTAAAATCATCCATGTATGTCCTTGAAAAAAATCAGGGCCTATCTTTTTTTTTTACTCACAGCAAAGTAACCAGATACCCAGAGGAATATTATGATTTTAAAATCAGAAGAACAGCTTTAAACCTGGCCTTAAAAATTGCTAATCCAGATGTAAGCAGGCGGCTGCCTCAATCATTAAGAACAAAGGGATGAAGACAGTCACTCAGGAAAATGACTCCTTAGGAAAGGGGCAGAAGTATGGAAAGAAGGACAGTACTGGCACAGAAATCCAGTAGGACTGACAGGGCAAGTTCATATGAGATGTTTGCTGATGAAGGCAAACAGGAAGAAATGGATAAGGAAAGCAAAGAGAAAAAGGAGTTTTTATAATGGTAAGATGGGCAAGACCAGACCTTAATTGAACAAGAAATGCCGTTCACACAAGTCTGACACAATTAAGTCAATGATTACCTGTATGTGTAAATCATTTTAAAGGCCCTAGAGAAATGAATCTATGAACAAAAGTATCAGGCTGAAGCTGGTATAATGGGAGAGTAACGTTTTTCTTTTTAGCATTCTGAATGAATTAAAATATTAGGTTTGAAGAGTGTATAATTTCTTACACATGTGATTCTATAATAGTCTGTTTTGTATTCATCTTATTACCAAAGCAAAAAAAAAAATTATACTGAAACTATGTAAAAATATCTCCCACATGCACATACACAGAAACTAAAAGAAATTATAGCATAATGATAATAGCAGTTTACATGAGTGACTAGATTATGAGTTATTTACTTTCATATATTTTTCAAATACTTATAATTCATATGTATTGAACATAATAAAAACCAAAAAATTTTAGACGGACGTACTAAGAAAACGTGAATGACATGACAACTTATCTCATCAGGTGTGCTTTTATATTCATTTGTACTAATCAAGCTAATATGCTGAAAGTAAATGAAAATGATTCCTGTAAAACAAGTATCATATTTGGAATAAATGTTTGTTATGTGGGTTGATATATATATATATATATATATATTATAATATATATATATTACATAGTTGATACACACACTAAAAAAAGACCACAAGGAGTTAAACAATTTCTAAAAATGCTCATGCTCGATATTTTTGGGAGGTGGGGATGGGGGTGGGGCAGTCAAGGAGCTCTTCCCACACAGCCCAAACTGGCCTTGCACTCACTACAGGGCAGGCTGATCTCCTTCTCACAAGCCCACTGCCTCAGCTTCACAAGTGCTGGGCTCACATGAATTTACCACCCACTATGCCTGGCCCTGAAACTATAGTCTACAAATCTCTTTATTCTCTAAATTTAAATGTTAAAGTGGAATAATATAGAAAAATGTAAATGTAAAAGTAAAAAACGTGTATTTAGTACTACAGATATGTAAAACAATAAAATCATCAACTAATTCTTAGAAAAGTAGTAATTCGATTTATAAACTGTTAAGGTAAAACAGCTTAAGAAAAAAAGCAAGAAAGCAGCTCACTTCGTTGGAATTAGCTGATTGAGCAGGGCTGGACATCAAAGCCAGGGCCTTCCTCATGTTAGGAAGGGACTCCATCACTGGAGTCATGCGTCTAAAGGACAACCACCACAGACAATGTGTTGTGGCACGTCTATTTCAAAGTCTTAGAATGACATTAAGGTTCTTTTGTGCTATTTCTACAGTCTTTCTAGGTCATAAAAATAATTTTCACTACAAAAAGGCCTAAAAGGACTTTTTCACAGCCATATGATATCATATCTAAACTTCTAGAACTTTAGAAAAAAATAGGACTGCTGATTCTCAGAACATTAATGAAGGATTTAAGATTATTATGGTCATCAACATTACCATACAAAGAGGCTTTAAAAAAGATGTTTCCCTAAGAAGCCCAATATTTTACTTGTAAAAATAATCATCTTTGTGTCCACCAGTTATCCAGACTTCTGGCATCATGAAGATAAATGAACTGCTTTGTGCAACACTCAAAAGTTCACTTAATACATATTTAGCATTATATAAACTTCAAATTGTGTCACATTATATAAACTACATAACTTATCTCTCAAAACATTTCAAAATTTCATGTTTCTAGCACCTTTTTCATCGTTGAAAAAAAAAAGAGGCAATTAGCTAGAACTGGAGTTTAAGAATGGTTGTCTATGTATTTTACATTTGGTTTTATCCTTTCCTCAAGGTATTTCTTATAAATTCAAAATTTAAACTTCTTCATCATTTCCATATACTATTGTCAAATAATTTTCCATTACCTAAGAAGATGGGCATTTCTTCTGCTGCTTGATGGAGTTTCTGCTTCATGAATTATTTCATGAAAGTTTTGTCTTGACCAATGTCATTATACTTTCCCTGGTAACCTCAAATCATTTCTAAGATATATCTATCATACAAAAGCAGAAGCAGAAAAGATGTAGGTCAAGAAATCTCTTTAATCAGCAACAGTAAATCACTGTTTGACTATCCCCAGGTCAAAACTTTACTGTTCTTAACTGCTAACTTTAATAATTATTTCAGTACAAATAGGAAAATACCTTTCACTAGAACTTTATAAAAAGACCCTTTCTGCTGCAGCCCAAATAAGCCCACATATATCTACTGACATCCAGTATCAGTGACACTTCCTTATGTGCCCTGGGGTGTTCATCACATTTCAGAGCCTTAACCTACATTTTATAGTTGGATAAATACTCCTTTCTGGAGTTCCAGACTGTGTGACATCTTAGGAAAGGCTGTATCTTATTTTCTTTTGGAAATTGCCTAATCTAGACTTTTGAAACCATAAAGCATTTACTATTTAACTGTAGCATTCTAAAGGAGTTTTAAGCGAAAGTATAAAGAAAAGAGTAGGCTAATTTTTTAAAAATTAATTTTCAGGTTAGAATATAAGGAAATGAGTTTCATTATGGGGTTTCAAACATGTGAGTACTGACTTACTAATTTTAAAATGTACATGGAATATTTAGGGGGCACATTTAATATTTATTATGGCAAACATAATACTGAATTGGGTTTTCAATGTAACAAATCAAAGATGTCATCATGGAGTAAACCAATCTAAGCTTGCCCTCTTTTTTTTTTTTTAAAAAAAAAAAAAAAAAAAAAAAAACAAACAACAGGCGGAAATTGCAAATGATTCTGGAACACCTAAAGAGTCATACTCTGTGCCACCTCAAAAACTAATTCTCAAAATCTTGTGAGTTAAAATTTACTGAATATACTGTAGATAAATTTACTTTCAAAAGTATAGCAACTAAATATTACAATTAAAATATTAAAGGAATCCTAAGCTGGGTAGTGGTAATGCACCCAGCATTCGAGAAGCAGAGGCAGGTGAATCTCTGAGTTTGAGGCCAGCCTGGTCTACAAAGTAAGTTCCAGGAAAGCCAAGGCTACACAGAGAAACCCCATCTCCAAAAACAAAACAAAACAAAAAACGACAAACCCTAAAGTATATCATGTTAATCTACATTATAACATGGGCTAATCTGTAATATAACCATTGAAATATATTTGGTGAATAGTACACCAATGGCACAGAAGAGAAAGCTCAAAAGTGTACCATGATCCTGTTTCATTATCCTTCAAATAAGAAACAGAATCAGAGAAGAAGAAAAAAAAAAAAAAAAAGAGTAATTAAAAAAAAAAAAAAAAAGTCCTGAACTGGCCATAATGTACCAAAGGGAAAAAAAAGTTTCAAACACATAAACTTAAATGAGAATTGAGTCATCTTTGTTGTTTTCTAGTTTTTCATCAACTAAAGATGAAAAACAAAAAGAAAATGTAAAAATCTCTGAAAAAATATAATGGAATGAACCATATGATATAAACTGCTAAAAGAACAACTAGCTTCTAAAGAACATTTAAGGTTTTTAGCCAGCATCAGTATACTGTTACTTATTTCTGCAGGTAAAGATATTTTTAAATCCTTTTAAAATATAAGTCCATTTGAAGTTTAAGTTATTTCAAAACAGATTATCTTTTCTATTATACCTAACCATATTCATAATAAAATTTCTTTTGCTATACTCTACGGCTCTTTTAATATTATCTTTCTAGTAAATTTTGATTATTTTAAGTTAAAAATTTCATGTACTTCACGGATAAAATTAGCATTTTTGCTTTATATGCAAACTTAAGCTGAGAATTAAGAAAATTTGGGAATGATTTACTTTTTTGTTTTGCATAATGGTGATAGAACTTTAAAAAATGTGGATACCAACCCATTTCCAGCTTTTGAGTTGCCTTTGTTGTCCGTGGTAAGCTGAGAAAGCACATAGTGAGGTGCTTTGGCACTGTCGGCATCAAATATATCCATATTAGATTCTTCACAATCTCGTCGTTTGACCCCCGGCCTCTGCTTTGGATTTCGTTTTCGTGATTTACGAGGTACCTCAGTGTTATCATTGTAGGAACTGGTGCTCATGTTACTGAAGTTGGAGGGGGAATCCTCCATCCACATACTGCAGCTCTGCTCAGATTCCAATCCACACCCCTCATCCTGGCAGGACATCCGACTGTTATCCAGCAAGTCCTCAGGTGGTGGTGAGATGTACAAAACTGTGTGCCTCTTCGGGGTTGATGGATGCTGCTGAACTGTGTTACCGGTTAACTGCTTTTCACTTACCCCTCTGTTACTTACCCCCACGGCTGAGGAGCAGCTCTCCACTTGCATAGCCTTGCTGTCGGTGACTGAGGTAGAATAAATGGTAGGGCTGGAAGAGGTGGTAAAGGAGCTGCAAGCACCGCCCATGGAGGAAGAGGAGGGAGCTGAAGAAGCATCTGCAGTGTACAATCCAAGAGTAAATACACTATACATGTTTTCACCTATGCTGGCTAGCAGTCCCAATGAAAATGTGATTTGTGAACTGATTGTTTTCCCCAAAATGAATAATTGGAATTTGGTTATGTTTTAGATATAAATGCTTTAAGCAATACAAAGCCTAAGAAATATAATTTTTTAAAATGCCCAAATAGCATTATTTTACTTTTGTTATAATTGATAAATTTTTAAAAATCTAATTTAGTATTTTTAAGCTGTAAAGCAAGAATAAAACTTTTATTGCCTCAGCTGAACGTTCTGTTGAATTTTAATCATTTAAAGTAATACAGAAAACCCCAATATGAAACATATGTTTGTGGTCCACATTCAATGCCAATTAAATAATTCATTATAGAATTTGAAAAATGGGACTGTGCTTAGCCACAAAATATTAAAATAAGTTTCTAACCTATGAAGCAGAGAACTACAGGTCATTTTTAATGCAGACACTCCCTGCTTCAGAGGCAAATCCTGGAATAAAAATATGAGAAAATAAATGAGAGAAGAACTGCTGATTATTCTAGATACCAATTATAAAATGAAAAATAGAGAAAAATATAGATAATCAACTGAACTGGAGGCAAAATGGAACTGGTACCATCACTATAACTGATTGTAAAAATCTATGAAGATAAAGGTGAGAAAGACTTGATGTTGAACATGCTTGGTTGTAGAAGATAAACAGGTTGGCCATTGAGAATCTCAAAATTGGAAAAAGCAGATCAAAACCACGAGTAACAAACAAACAAACAAACAAACAAATAAATAAATAATCCAACCTTTAAGAATGAATAAGAAGGAGAACAGGGTGGCTACTAGACGCACTTTTCCTATTAAGTTCTCATGTGCTCAAAAACTGGCTGTGCCTGCCCATTAGCTCTCTCTTTAAAAGGCCTGCTTAGTCGTGCCTATCAGGTCATTGTCCAGTATGGTACTGAATATATATTACTGTCCAAAGCCCAAATAAACTAAGCATGAACATTTCTAGAACATCAGAATTCCTATAAAGTATTTTAAGCTGAATTATTTATCAAGCATGCCTAGCAACAAAAGCATAGATAGTGAATCTCTGCAGACCACACTGTGGCAACTGGCAATAGCAGCAGCTGGAACACTGCTACTTTAGTCCTTCAATGCATAACCTCAGCCACACAACACTGCCTGGGCTGGAAGTTAACTGTAATTTCACAAATACTCTTTTCTCATGTACAAGATATAATTGTGCACATAAATAAAAATTGGCAACACTTAAATTTAAGTTGTATCTTCAACCATTTATGCCATGGTTTAAATTTAAATGTGATATACCATTATTAAGATCACAATGTTCATTGTTAATTATAGAACTAAAAGTAAGAAAGTCAGTGTTTGGATAATAAAAAGCTGTGCTGGTAAATTAACTAAACCCAACTGAAAGCATTTATCAAAACATGGAAATTATTTGAAAGACTAAAAAAATTTTCATTGTTGCCAAAAGAAATCAGTCATGTTAGCCATCCATAATGTGATCTTTGTAATGACACTCTCAAAATTGTTCTCCCAACTACCGTAAGTCAAAGATCCTGAAGGAGTAGATGATACCAGTTCCACTTTTTAGTTTGTATCCTTGTCAAATGCAGTAGCTGAAATTAGAAAATTCAGTCACTTTTTAACTGCATTCCAGTTTAAAGAAAAAATTTTATCAATTTTGTATCATGCATTAATGCAATGTTTTCTTAGTAAATAATTTTTTGTAGATCTGTAAAAACTACAAAATCTAGATGCTAATGTCAATGACAGTTTAGAAGCTGATTTGTAGCCACTTTGGGTTTAAATACAGTTTTGTTTTTTTTTTTTTTTTTTTTGAAAATACAATAGTCATTTTGGACAAAATAGGAAAGATATATATAATGTCCCTCCATTTGTTCCAACTATTGGCCAAAATGAAGCAAAAATTTGTGCTTGTGTGTATCTACGGTCTTGATTCTCCGAGAAATGCTAGTAGACAGCCCATGCCATCTCCACTGGGTCACACAAAGCATGCAGCATGAATACCGTGAACTTGCATTTCTATAAAGTACTGCCCTACCCCCTCCTCTCTGAGTCTACGTGTTATGCATACAAGAACGCAGAGTACGGGCATCTCTTCCAACAACAGAGAAAAAGTATAGGCACAAAGCCATAATGAAATCAAGAGCAAGTTATGTAGTTGTGGTGTTTTGATAGATATTTGTTTTGTTTTGATCCAGGGTTCTTGGCTTACAGCTTCTAGCAACTTCCTAAGTTGAGTAAGGCAATAAATATCTGTGGTTAAAATTTTGGCCTTCCACTTCATACTGATAAGGGTGAAAGAGGAGTTTTATTTGTTTGGTTTTTTTTATGATAAGGTTTATTATCATAATCATTATTATTTTGTTTTAATTTACAGCAAACATCTCTCAACCACCTGGGACTGTATTAATAAGGTAATCTGAGGGAAGGTGCTAAATAACCCGAGGTGGGAGAAGGGGGCTGGTTGCCACAAGAATCAACTGTGTCCACAAAGGGCCAGTGCTCACTCTCATCCTCCTACTTCCAGGAAGCAGAGAGGCTGGAGGTTAGGGTGATAAACAACAGCCAATAACTTAATCAATGATTTCTAACATAATGAAGCCTCTTTAAAATATTTTTTTCTATATAAAAATTCAAACAGACTTAATTCAGATGTCCAAGGTGAACAAAATCACACCCTGTGCCAACAAACAGGCATAGCCAAACTCCAACTGGAGCCTGAGGCTTTTAGATCTTGTCCTAGGCATCACCTCATTGGTCTAGGCTTTAAAATACTTTTTATAATGAACCAAGAACTGTATTTACTGAATTCCATGAGTTGTTGTACTAATAAAATAATTGAACTCTAAGAGAGGACCATGGGAAGTTTAATTATAAACAGTCAGATGAATACTGAAGTCTATTAGGTTAAACTGGCAAATAAATTGGGTTACAGATTTTAAAAGCATTTAGTATTTAAAATGTAAAATGCTTAGATGGTGTAGCATTACAGCAGCAGTACCTGACACAGGTAAACTACTGAGAGTTTCCCCAGAGAATGCTACAACAGTCTTTCCTAAAAATATATGTAAGACAATTGCTTATTTACATATTAACCCTAAATTTAGCATGAAAAAATTTTAGTATTAATCACTCAAAAAAAAACCCAAACAAACAAACAAACAAAAATAAGAAACACATTAATTGGTATTCAGTAGGGCTAAAGTGATCTGAAGTGATTATAAATCTTGCTTCTTTTTTTTTCTGAGGTGGTGGTGGTGGTGGTGATTTATTTGAAGCAGTTACTATGTATCTCTGGCTGGCATGGAACTCGCAGACACCTGCCTGCAGCTGCCTCTTCAGTGCTGGGATTAAAGGAATGTGTCACTGCTACACTGTTTTGTTTTCTTGCGGCAGGTTCTTGCTGTGTGGTCCAGGCTGGCCTTGTATTCGAAGCACTCTTGTTGCTGCACCCTTCCAAGGTGTGCACTACCATGCTGGCCTTGTATACTCACTTTTATTTATAAGTTTGTGTGAACAAAATATGGTAACTGCTTCCCTAACCTGTTTTCAGTGCAAAGACTCTTGTTTTTGTTTATTGAGACAGGGTTTCTCTGTGTAGTCCTGACTGTCCCAGACTTGTTTTGTAGACCAGGCTGGCTTCGAACTCACAGAGATCCACCTGCCTCTGCCTCCCAGAGTGAGAGTGCTGGTATTAATGGCATGTGCCACCACGCCCAGCTCCCCCAAAAAAGTGTTTTAATAAATGCTTTTATTTCTTTTTTTAAACACTTATTTTTATTTTATGTGTCTGAGTTTATGTGCATGGATGTTTTGCCTGTCTGAATGTCATCGCATCATGGGCCCGAAGTGCCTCCAAGGGCTGTAAGAAGGCACTGGGTTGTGTGAAACTGGAGTTTTAGACTGTTTCAAGCCACCACGTGAGTGCTGGGAATCAAACCCTAGTCCTGCAGAAGAAAACTCTGCTTTTATTTCCTTTTAGAGCAAAGTAAGTTATAATGTATTTCCATGATTAATGAGTAATATAAATTACCCATCTTTTTTATTTGTTTGTTTTTGTTTTTTCAAGACAGAGTTTCTCTGTGTAGACCTGGCTGTCCTGGACTCACTTTGTAGACCAGGTTGGCCTTAAACTCACAGAGATTCACCTGCCTCTGCCTCCCTGAGTGCTGAGATTACAGGCGTGCACCACTACGCCCAGCTCTTAGCCATCTTTTATACTGTAAGCTTTTCTTAAAATTATTTTTTCATCTAAGTAGCATGTGAACACATTTTTACTCTTTTATGAAATAATTGTTTTTGAACTTCGCTTAATTTATATAAGCTAATCATTTTTCACAACACTTTCCCTGACCACAACGAGTATCACAAACCAAAAGGAAAACTGATTTTCCAGTCCACAATTTACTTGTGAAAATTTATAACCTCAGAATATATCAATTTTAAAATTTAAAAATGAAGGGAAATCAGGCATAGTGGTATACGCCTTTAATCCCAGAACTTGGGAGGCAGAGGCAGGTGGATCTCTTTGAGTTCAAGGACATCAAAGACTATGAAGAGTGACTTTCAAGAAAACCAGAGAGAGAGAGAGAGAGAGAGAGAGAGAGGAAACATCAACACCATGTCTACAATGTCCAATAATAATTTTATTCTTTTTAAGTTAAATGTCACTCATGAGGAACCTAAACTGTAAATATTGGTTTCTTTTTCTTAAAGTTAAGATTTATTTTATTAAATTTATTTACCTAGTTACTCATTTTTGTATGTGTATGTTCACATGCCATTGCATACATGTAGAGGTCAGAAGACAAATTGTGTGAGTCCTCTCTGTCTGCCAAATGAGTTCCAGGGATCCAACTCACATTGTCAGGTATGGTAGCAAGTGTTTCTACTAACTGAACCGCCTCACTGGCCTATACAGCTTCTCTTA